ATCCCGTGAACCAGTTTTTCTTGTCGTGATGGTGTAGAGCACATGTAAAGGAAAACTGACAATGAAAAATAAAAAGCACACAGGAACCAGGTCACGTTCCTACGTGCAAAACAAGCACATGTTCCTCCCGTGTGCATGGATAACCAGGAGCTGGGGAGACTCACTGACTAACGCTCCAGTAACTACTGCTCCAGGCCCGCTCCCAGAACACAATCTAAATGTAAGGCAGAGGACACATCATTCAGGGTTATTTACTAACATGAGAATTCAAAGTGAATTTCAAATTTAATATCAAAGTAGCCAAACGGGAAAAATTCTCTAAGTCAGCAATGGTTTCCGTTCGGTTACTCTGGGCTCCAATTTAAAGCTCACTTTGATTTCTGACTTAAGTAAAAAAAACTGCAAATGTCGTATTTATTGGAAATCAGCAAGTCACTTATTAAAGGAAGGAGGATACAAAACAAACACGCCCAACTCGTTCTAAATGTCTTTTGATGTGTTGCTTTGAGCAGTGTTTATTTAGATGCAATATTCATGTCACGGTTTCTGAGATTCCTTTAATTCTACTTATCAGAGCTGCATCATGTTTTCCTGGACAGTCAGGCTGATGGCCAAGGCATGATAACTGCTGCCCCTCAAACTCTCACGGAACTCACTCTGATTTTCTAGCGAAAGAAAGTTTTTACAATTGTTTGAGAATCGCCTATCATTGCTTTTCCCCACATTATACAGAAGAAGCAAAAATAAAGGTAAGGAATGAAAGGGAAAGCAACCTTGTTGATTGCTGGTTTTTGCACTTGTCTTAATTCTACAAACTGCAGTTCAGCACTTTCCACTTCCTGATAATCAGTATGAATGTCCGGTGTGTGTAGCAAGCCATTGTTGATGGGGGAAATCTGATTACAGTGCTGGAACGCTTATTCATCTCAAATGGAATAAAATCCAGGACTCTGATCCCTTAATGGGACAGTATAGTCACCAAAACAACTTTAGATTAATGAAGCCGTTTTGGTGTATAGATCTTGCTCCTGCAGTCTCACTGCTCAATTTTTAATCACTTTAGTTCTGTTTATGCAGCCCTAGCCCCACCTCCCCTAGCCCCACCTGACACAGCCTGCATGAAAACAATATGGTTTCACTTTCAATCAGATAGTAACTTACTTTAAAAGTTTTTATCTCCTGCTCTGTAATTTGAACTTTAATTACATACAGGAGGCTCCTGCAGGGTCTAGCAACCTATTAACAGAGCAGGAGATACGACATTCTAAATTAAACAGAATTTGTAATAAAGGAAGTGTAAACATTACATGACTCTTTACAGGAAGTGTTTAGGAAGGCTATGGAAGCCACAGTCAGCAGAGAGGAGTGACTAGGGCGGCATAAACAAAGTGATTTAACTCCTAAGTGGAAAGGAATTGAGCAGTGAGACTACAGGAGCATTATCTATACACCAAAATTTCTTCATTAAGCTGAGATTGTTTTTCGTGGCTATGGTGTCCCTTTCAGATAACATGCCAAGCGCCATCACTATTGTGCTGCTCCAGCAAGTCCCCATAGCAATGAATGGGAGCACCTTGTGCAGAGCAGTCATTATAACAGTTAATGTGTTACCAAAGAAAGGTCACATTGATGTGTGCTTTTTTTAAACATTGTGTTTATTGACATTTTGTAATCAAAAGGTAGCATTACAGAAAGGAAACTGTTATTAGGCAGATCATTTATAGCGTGAAACCGTTTCTGTTGTCAGGGTACCGTGGTTATACAGTAGGTTGATATGTCTCAGTAGCCTATGGTCTGTGTTTGACGGTCTGCATATGGGGTTTCCATCATGTGGTGAGGTTGTTTGGCTGTTTTGCTGTTCAATGTCATTCAAAACATATCATATATACAAAATATAATAAAACCAAAATTATACAGTAACAAACAATTGTAATCGTGGTCCGACTAGTCGCTCTGGGAGCCCCAATTTGGGATCTCAATTGTGTGTATGTGTATGGTGAAGGTCAGCCTCTTGTGAATCGCATAAGTGGGGCAGGGAGAGGTCTTTTGTGTTAGGTTTATGAATGGGTCGCCGGTCCAGGCTCCTTTGTTGGCTTTGAGCCGTGACCTGAACCAGGGACTGCAGTGTTGTTGCCTAAGTAGGTGTCTTGTGCTTGCCCTGGCAGCTGCTTGGGCTTCCCTCCACCCCCTGTTTTGTTGGCCCCAACTCAGTTGTGGGGTCAAAGTGCATGGGGTGTAAAAGTCCCAAGTGAAAGAGAACAAAGAGGGAGGCTAGGCCTCGCCCCCTCCCCCCTGAGGTAGTAGTCTCTTGGTCTCACCCCCCCCCCCCCATGGTGCGGGTGTGTAGGTGCCTGAGGTTGCGTCTGAGTGCGTAAAGAGCTATGGGTCGGTTACGATAGGAAAGGTTCATTTAGCCATGGTTCCCCGATCTTGTAAAAATGGAGATGCTATCCATTTCTATTGCTTCTTTGGTTTTACAAATGACCGTTGGGAGTGTGGGTATGTTTGGAGTGCCCCAGAGTTCCGCTATCGCTCTTCTCGTTGCTAGGGCTGTTCTGTTTGTTAGTTTGTTTTGGGGTCCCAGGGTTTCAAGAGGAGCCAGATCCAGGGATCAAGGGGGATGGTCACTTGGAGTAAGTTGGAGATCAGGTTTGCAACCTTCGCCCATAGTGGTACCAGCTTGGGGCAGTGCCACCATAGATGGATGTATGTTCCCCTGTGTCCCCATTGTTTCCAGCATGGGTCTGAGTCTGACCTACCCATGTGGTGTAAACATGTGGGTGTTAGGTACCATCTTAGCGTGGTTTTGTAGGCCTGTTCCTTGTGGTATACACAGATATGGAAGCGATGGCCTCCCAAATGTCTTGCCAGTCTGTTGGGTCTTACAGGGGTCCCAGGTCCCTCTCCCAAGCAGACACATGGGCCAATGCTCCTGCTGGTAGGTTAGTGATTAGGAGTAAGTAATTGTCAGTGATGTGCCCTTTTTAAATTTGTTTTTAGCAGTACACCCTCAAGGGTAGGAACTCCAGATGTTTTGGACTGCCTCCCCCATAATGCTGGCAAAGCATCATGGGAGTTGTAGTCCAAAACGTCAGGAGTGCCAAATGTGGCCTGCCCCTGCACTACACCATCGTACCCCTTTCCTAAACTTTAACTTCTGTGGACAGTAACTCCTACCAATAACAATCAGCTCACAGTATTAGGAGATGAGTGGTAACTGTAACACTAATTGGTTTATCAAGGCTACCAGGAGGAGCCGAAACGTTGGGGGACTGTTTGTGACTCGTGTTTCTGCCCATATAGGCTTGTGAGATTTGGTAATTATATGGTTTAGCCTTTTTTTGCCTATTTGGTCACTATCAGATTGTTACATTTTTGTATGTAATATTTGCATTGTATTATAATAAACATATTTAGATAGATACTATTGTATCAGTTGGTGTGCATTCCTTTCTTTTTGAGTATTTGTTTATTGGTATTGGAGGGAGTACCTTGTTGGAATAGCACCCATAATTGTGGTAGTAATTATATTAAGTGTCTCTCCGCATGTTACATTTTGTATGACATATACACACTGACACAGAGATACACACACTGGCGCATACAAACACAGATATACAAACCTTGACACACACCAGCACATGCAAACACAGATACACAGTGTGTTAAGGTGTGTGTATCTGTGTGCCACTATCTGCCAGTGTGTGTGTGTATCAGATTCATACACACTGGCACATACAGATACCCAGACGCACACACCTTGACACACAGATAGATACATACACACACTGTGTGTCAAGGTGTGTGTATCTGTGTGCCACTATCTGCCAGTGTGTATCTGTGTGTCAGATTCATACACACTGGCACATACAAACACACACACCTTGACACACAGATACACACACAGTGTGTCAGATATACAACTGGCACATACAAGCACAGATATACACACCTTGACACATTTAAAAAAAAAAAAAAAGGCGCAATTGATTTTTGTTTGGGGGGGGGGCGTCCACGATGATGATACAGGATGTCAAAGGGTTCCACGGGAAAAATTAATTGGGAAACCCAGCTGTAACCTAATGTAGATCCTAGGATTAGTGGGTACCCCTAGATATTCCTTTGTAACTAACTGTGCTACTACAAAACGTGCACTCTTCTGTCCTGTAAAGAAGGCCGTCATTTTTAAAAAGAGTTCCTGTCACTATTTTGTTTCAATATCCATGGAGTATATTGTAGAAATCCCCTCAACGTGCACCATGTGTTGCTGGAAAACATTAAAACACCCATCTTGACTTTATTTTTCAAGGTGCCGCCATCGTCACAACACTTCTAAATACATTCACTGCATGCCCGTTCCCCTCCCTGTGTTGGGCATGCAGGCCTGGTGCACATTTGCAGGAGGTAACATCACACGAGACTTGATACTAGGGGAACAGGATTATCACATAAACCCTCCACTGACTTAAAGGAAGCAGACCTTGAATGAAGTGCTGCCCATGGTCAACTTGAAGGCTCTAAACAAGGAAACATACATGCCTTAGCGACCCGATTTAAAAGGGATACTCCAGGCACCCAGACCACTTCTGCCCATTGGAATTGTCTGGGTGCCAACTCCCACTACCCTTAACCCTGCACGTGTCATTATTGCAGTTTTCTGAAGCTGCAATATTTACATTGCAGTGTTAAGTTCTCCTCTAGTGGCTGTCTTCTAGACAGCCACTAGAGGGACTTCCGTGTTCATAAAACACGAAAAGTGTTTTCAGTGACGCTGGACGTCCTCAGCGACGCTGGACGTCCTCAGCTATGTGAGGACCACCAGCGTCGCCGAAATCCCCATAGGAAAGCATTGTATAGACCTTATGAGGTCTCCCCCGCCGGCTGACGTCGGCAGGGGAGGAGAGTAGGTGGAGCCTGACCAGCACCGAGGGACATCGGCGCTGGACTCCGGTAAGTCACTGAAGGGGCTTTAACCCCTTCAGCAACTTGGGATGGGGGGTGGGAGGGAGAGGGGCACTGCGTGAACCTGCAGTGCCAGGAATACAAATATGTTCCTAGAATATGTTCCTAAGATATATTAGCCAGCTCCTGCATTGAGCAGATTTTACTGTAGGTGTGTCAGACACTTTGGGATTTGCTGCAGGAAAGAGTTATATGAGCACCAGTTAACTTTATTCCCAATTTTAATTCATGACCCAAATCCTCATTGGGGCATCCCTTTAACCCACTGAATGCCAACAGGGAGAGAAACGCAATAAAAAAAGAACATAGTGGGGAGAGAGAGAAGACAGCTTCCTTTAAGGACAAGAAAAAGCAGATTACTTATGGTCAAGTAAGAGTAGGTGAATGAAACAGAAGAAAAAGGAGCAGCCTCAGGTAAGAGTTTAATGTATAAAACAAGATTAGATAATGAGACATTAAACAAAAATGATAAAGTGAAGTGCGCCAAAGGCTAAGGTCCAGTGAGAGAATGACCTGTGGTAGCCATACCACACCCTTCCCAGGAGGGGGAGCCAATGAGACAGACAATACAATTTGCATCTCTCTCAGGACCTCAGCTGAGGCCAGTCCAAGAGAGTGCATGCTCCTGCAGCTTGCCAGGAAGAGAACTCCATAAGTAAAGGTGGCATTGGACAAGTTCCCATGAAATTGAAGGCAGTAGGACTGCAATTAGAGACCTGTACAAATAAACAGTCATAAAAAGTCCAAGGCCTTTACTCCAGCACAACTTTCCCCCCCGCAGCTTCCAACGCAGCCTTAATCTTCTCTGCTTCTTCTTTGGAAACGTTTGCCTTGATTTCCTGAGGTAGAGACTCCACCAATTTCTTAGCCTGTTAAGCAAAACACACAATCAGCAAATTGCATGGGGAGAACAGGATGTCAATTCACCTCTACCAGGGATGCTTTATTCCTGGGCCCCATTCCAGCTCCCCATCCTAGTTTGGTGAGACCCTACAAAAAGCACTGCTCTATATATTGTGATAGAAAGATAGAATACAAAGTATCACACACATTGTATTGTGGGAGTGTACGTATATTAACTAATACATGAATACAACGATATAGAGTGCAGGCATTATGAACCATTTTAGTGCCACAGATGTGTGTGGTGTATTGAAGAGTAATATAGTGTGCCTGCTCCGCTCCCCCAAATAACAGGTGTGCAGCCCCTTACCTGCACCAGGTTTAGACCCTGCATGCAGTTCTTTACTTCCTTAATCAGTTTTACTTTTTCCACAGCGTTGACCTCAGTCAGTTTTACTGTGAAATGGCTCTTCTCCTGCTTCACAGGCGCCTCTTCTTCTTCTACAGCCTAAAATGATTCCAGGGGCAGATAAACAGAGTTAGCAACGTTCTAAAAACCCACCACCTCCCAAACCTGATGTTCTGCTCCTTTACCTGGACAGGTGCTGCACCAACTCCTGGCATCACAGCTCCCATTGGCATCATCCCAACATCCGGAATCTTCAGCTTTTTCTAGGAAGAAGGAAATCGTTCAGAACACTGTGTAAACCCAGCTAGGCATTTCACAACATTTACTCACTACACAGTAAATAGACTTAAATCAATCTGTTAAATTCAGGCTAACAAAGCCACGATGTGACCACAGCCTAGTTGCTGAATATTTTGGAATGAATTTTACAACTGTAATTATAAAAAAGAGATCAAACGCCACACTATTATAGCTGGTTTCTTTTTTTTACTTTGCCGTATTAAAACATGTTTTAAAATGGAAATGTCAACAATGTTGGAAATCTGACATACCAAACATTTGCCCAGACATTCCTTTGCTACAAGAAAACATAAAAAATAAATAAAACAAACATCTAATAAGGGCTACAGTGGTTATGGTGCTTATACAGTTTAAAAAGTTACTCCAAACACCATTACCATGCCATTGATTTGAAGTGGTCATGGTGCCTGGAGTCTGTCTGTGCAGAGTGTAGCTGTGAAACTGAGATTAACTCCACCAGTATCATTAACCATTCCAGAACAAGATTTGCGGACCGGCTAATATCAATTCTGCGCAAAATTGGCGACCGACAACAGCACACGCAGCATGCTGGCGCCTTACAGCAATGGTGGTTATAGTGGAAGGAGTCTTTGGATTCAGTTCATCCGTCAAAAAGCAGCACTTTGACAAACACAATGAGGATTTCTTGGTACAGAAGTTCAGGCCATCTGCTGCATAGATAAGGAGGAATTTAATTTCTTTATCCGTCCAAATTTGGATCGCAATAATAGACTGTGACAGCTGGTTTAAAGCTGGATGGTCATGGACGGGTAATGTGAAAGTATAGGATTCATATAATCAAAGCGACTGCAGAAAGGACGGGCATTTGGTGCTGGAGAGCCCTAGTGTTCGTGAAAACGCTCAAGCTGCATGACAAAAGTTAGATTACTTTAAAATTAAAAAAACAGATGGCTCCCAAACACACCCTGCACCATAACCACCGCAATATACAATACTGTTTATGGGGCATTGGGTCCTTTTAGCTTATATACCCAAGAAATACCCATACCTGTGATTATGTCTCCATCTAGTGGCTATTTTTAATAACAGAACCTCTCGAAAAAAAGATGTGGTATTTTATAAAAATTTTGACATAGACAGCCTCTGGGTTCTGCAGAAGTCAGATGTCATCACAGTCAGCAGACGAGGACCCTCTGTGCCCAGTGGGACCCAGGTAAAAGGACAAACCTTTGCAAACTGTTTTCCCCATTACCGGGTAATGGAGCCAGAGTGTGAAGAAATCCCTCTTTTATGTGCAATATTTCTTCCCTATTCATTCGGTAGATGTAACTACCGAACAGAGACCACCCCCCTGGCTCGTTAAACTTCAAAGAAGGCCTCAATTGAACCCTCTATCTGTGCGGCCGGCGTTCGCACTACCGAACGTCATGTAGCTGAGAAAACAGCGGCCATCTTTTTTCATGCGAACAAAGGCAGCGGGACTTGGTCGTCGAGTGTCTGGAACTAAAATCGGACACTCGACTTCCCGAACACCGGTCTCAACAAGCGAACGCTGGATCTTTATTTCCCGAACAGCTAGAAGAGCGCTGTTCGGTACTTTTGTGCATTCGAATGAGGGGGAACAATCGCTAAGAGCCAGGGGAATCCATTCGTGGAATTATTCGGTTTTTGCCACTTAACTGAATAGACCGGCAAAACTACCCAAACTCCTGGAACTATTTTGGGCAGCCACCTCGCGGTTAGCCGGTCACAAAAGACTTACATACTTTTTGAGAACCCCTGAACCGATCTGAGTGAAATTTGAATATGTTGGTCACCCAGATCGGGGCTATCAGGGAACATATTGTTTGTGGGGATACCACATGCCTAAAGGGGTGTTCTGAATATTGGGGAAAAATTTCAATTTTTCTGCCTAGAGATAATCAAGTTATTACTTTATCAGACTTGATTATCTCCAGGACTAGGGGAGAGTATTGTATGTTTGTGCTGGGAGTGTTTTACGTTTTCCCTGTAAATGATTGGTTGTACTGTGTCCCACCCTGTAGGATGGCCCCTTGCATGGGGACTTGCATAAAAGCCAGTGTGTGGCCATTAAAAGCCAATTCTGTTTTACCCTTCTTCTTGACTTTGGTTGATGTTTGGGGATTCGTATGCTTTATTAAGGGAATCATCTTGTAAAGCTATTGTGTTTGTATGGATTTCATTTATTTCATCTACCGAACGGAGAGCTATAATCACTAATGCTCTGGCGGTTCGGGAGGAAACTACCGAATGAGGATTGGATATACTAGGTTTCCTTACACAGAGTACTTCTGGTTTAATTATCCAACGGCGGGCTGTGGTGGTTGTGATGATTTGAGTATCACTTTAAAGGGGAGCTCTAGTGTCAGGACACAGTAAATGTAAAAACAATTAATCATTTTTTAGATCCATCTTATAGTTGAGATTTTCCATAGGATACAAAAAGATGGAATCTTATCATAAACAAATAGACGTGCGAAAGGTGTGTGTGATATCGATGTTCTGGTTTAACAAAGAGCGGAACTTTATAATAAGAGACTCTTAGTCGCAGCTTTTACAGAACTGTAGGACCATACATGGTTATTTGAAGTTAATCCTGGTTGCAGTGGGACAGTGGCCCATGAGCCACTTCTTGAAATGAGTTGATGGGCGCTCACTCCCCTTTCTCTATAGATTGAGTTTTAAGACACAAGTTCTAGATGTATTGGGGGGAATGGAGGTGGGGTGGTAGGAGGCATTTAAGGTTATATTTGTTACCAAGGTTTGCAGATGAAATGACGGCACATCATCACAGTTGGACAAACAAAGATAAATTGTAAGCAGGAAATTAGAAAGGAAAATAAAAGCAGATACAATGTAAGGCATCTGGCAGGCTGGAGTATGTTAGTAAATACACATACTGCATGGCTATTATCACATCACTGATGCCCAGCAGGATATGATGCTGGCCGCCTTGGTTAAAGCTTATCACCCTAGTATTTCTCAAGCTGTAGAGATCCTAGGGCGATACTAGGAAACATGTGCAGACTTTACAGCTTCCCATCATTTCAGAATAATTGCCTATTTGCAGCTAACCAGTTCAGCGTTAAAAGCTGCCAAATGATAACAGTGGTGGTGGTTGTAGCGACAGCCTGGGGGCTCTTCCTCTCTCTCACTGCTATCATGGGGAGAGCTTTGATGATGGCAGGACTTTGACTAAAACTAAGGGTTCCTGGGTGCCCAAGCCACTTGAAAACAGCTTCACAAAGAATGACACCCATAGCCTATTATATACACTAAAATGAGACACTGTGGTTATGGTGCTTGTAGCGGATGGCACTGGGCTGTCCTGAAAATTGCATGTGTATAACTGTATTCGGGTAAACTGCTGTTTTCTTATGTGTTTAAATAAAGTGTATTCGTCTGATTGTTCGGTAGAATCATTCGAATAAACTAAGGGAATGAAACTACCGAACAATCAGACCTCCCCTGTGTGAAGTGTGCCTTCAATTACCCGTTGCAACAATGTTGCAAATGGGTAATTAACAAGCTATGCAGTAGGTCCTTTGTTCTCGGGGTGGCCGCCATTCGGGAAACGAACACGTGGTGGTGGCCATTTTAAAACTCCCGAACAGCGGTGTTTTGCTGTTGAGTGTCTGGAACCCAAATCGGACACACGACTAGGCGAACACAGCTGAGACCTCCACAAGCCCGGTCCGTTCGGTTCCAAACTACCGAACGGCCCCTCGTTCGGTAGACAGAAACAACCGAACGAGGGGATTCATGCGAACCCTACCTGATCTCTGTAGCCTTAGCGTTTCGTGTAATTTATTCCCTTATACTGTACCTCCATAAATTTCCTGAACCCCTGGTCCGATTTGGGTGATTTTTGGATAGGTTGCCACCCAGATCAGGGCTACCAGGGGATAAGCCATTTAAAGGGGTACATCCAGAAACTGGGGGAATTTGTGTACAGTATAAGGGGATTATGAGTCAGGCTGAGGGGAGGAGATGTGTGGGAGGTTACTATTGCTGAATTGGGTACTGTAGTAATTAATGAAAATCCCTCCCTTGCATGGGAGCATGCTTTATAAGGCCACTGTGAAATAAAGGTTTTCTGTTCTGCTCCTGATGCTGTGTGTCGTCCAGTTATTGGGATTGCTGTTGGATCATTTTACCTGCTGGAAACCTTGCTTTATGGATTTATAATTACTTGTTCCTGAGCCTCACTGGGATCTTAAGCGGAGATAATCTGTGGAATATTGGATCTCCGCTACAGTGCTAATATTGTGATTGGATATACATTGCTGCCCCCATTCCCATTGTACTTACCTTGAGCAACTCATTGAGGTCGGAGACCTCCAGCAGAGTGAGACCAGCAATCTGATCAACCAGTTGCTCTATTTTTGGAGGGTACTCCTTAGCGCCATTGTCTAGGGATGGGGCTGCCACTGCCTCGTTCCTCAGATTGCTGGAGGTCCTGAGTAATCGCACTACAGACATCTCTAACCTGTGAAAATAAGATAAAGGCATTGTCAGAGTACAGCACCTTTCCTGTAACCTGCTACATTAGAGGGGGCTATAAAATCATACAAGTCAAAGCAAAGCATGGGTGATATTTACATCTACGAGATCAACATGCAGCCTCCAAACGGCCGGTACCACCCACAGGATGCACTTCATCATGTCATTTACTTTGGGCCTACTATGCGATTATGATATCAGAAGAGGACAGCGCCAGTTGGTACGTTCTACACCCCATTCCAACATGGCAGAGTTGGTTGGTTTCCAAATCCATTGCTCCTTATTTAACACCAGATCATCACCTGTTTTCAAGCTGCTTGAAAACTTCAGAATTTGGTGCTTTGTACATAATTTAAAAAACGAGGCTTTAGGAGTTGTAAATCTTTTTAATTTACACACCAAAACGTGAATTTTTTCACAGTTTATGTCTTTACAATATTACTTCCAAAAGATATACAGCCAAGGCACTAACCAACAATGGTTACAATAGGTACAATATCTAAACTTGTTAAGCATAGCCCCCGTCTCCGTCACACAGACTGCGGCCCCCGTCTCCGTCACACAGACTGCGGCCCCCGTCTCCGTCACACAGACTGCGGCCCCCGTCTCCGTCACACACACACACTGCTGCTCCCGTCTCCGTCACACACACACACTGCTGCTCCCGTCTCCGTCACACACACACACACACACACTGCTGCTCCCGTCTCCGTCACACACACACACACACTGCTACTGCTGCTCCCGTCTCCGTCACACACACACACTACTGCTCCTGTCTCCATCGCACACACTGCTGCTCCTGTCTCCATCGCACACACTGCTGCTCCTGTCTCCATCGCACACACTGCTGCTCCTGTCTCCATCGCACACACTGCTGCTCCTGTCTCCATCGCACACACTGCGGCTCCTGTCTCCATCGCACACACTGCGGCTCCTGTCTCCATCGCACACACTGCGGCTCCTGTCTCCATCGCACACACTGCGGCTCCTGTCTCCATCGCACACACTGCGGCTCCTGTCTCCATCGCACACACTGCGGCTCCTGTCTCCATCGCACACACTGCGGCTCCTGTCTCCATCGCACACACTGCGGCTCCTGTCTCCATCGCACACACTGCGGCTCCTGTCTCCATCGCACACACTGCGGCTCCTGTCTCCATCGCACACACTGCGGCTCCTGTCTCCATCGCACACACTGCGGCTCCTGTCTCCATCGCACACCCTGCGGCTCCTGTCTCCATCGCACACACTGCGGCTCCTGTCTCCATCGCACACACTGCGGCTCCTGTCTCCATCGCACACACTGCGGCTCCTGTCTCCATCGCTGCACTGCTGACCTGTCTCCTCCTTTGCACTGCGACTCCTGTCTCCCGCCAGCACACACTGCTGCTCCTGTCTCCATCGCACACACACACACTGCTGCTCCTGTCTCCATCGCACACACACACTGCTGCTCTGTCCATCGCTTACCCACCTGCTGCTCCTGTCTCCATCGGCACCTGCTGCTCCACCAGCGCCATGGCGCATACACTGCTGCTCCTGTCTCATGGCTGCAACCACTGTCTCCATGGCACACACACACACTGCCACTCTGTCTCCATCGCACACACTGCGGCTCCTGTCTCCATCGCACACACACACACACACTGCTGCTCCTGTCTCCATCACACACACTGCTGCTGCTCCTGTCTCCATCACACACTGCTGCTCCTGTCTCCATCACACACACACACACACACACACTGCTGCTCCTGTCTCCATCACACACACACACACTGCTGCTCCTGTCTCCATCACACACTGCTGCTCCTGTCTCCATCACACACTGCTGCTCCTGTCTCCATCACACACACACACACTGCTGCTCCTGTCTCCATCACACACACACAGAGACAGTGATAGTAACAAGGATCCATAGAGTTTAGGACCCTGACAGTGAAATTGCTAAACGCCTGCACCGCCAGTGATAAGCCCAGAGGCCTAATGCCAGTTATATCCCAAGGGCCCACACTGCCAGTGAGAATCCCAAGGGCCCACACTGCCAGTGAGAATCCCAAGGGCCCACACTGCCAGGGGGATTACTAGGGGAGCCCACACTGCCAGGGAGATTACTAGGGGGAAACTGCCAGGAAAGATACTAGGGGGCACACTGCCAGGAGATTACTAGTACACGCCAGGGAGATTACTAGGGGCACACTGCCAGGGAGACGGCTAGCCTACACTGCCAGGGAGATACTAGCCTACACTGCCAGGAGATACTAGCTCTACACTGCCAGGGAGATTACCAGGGGCCCACACTGCCAGGGAGACAGCTTCAGGGGGCCTACACTGCCAGGGAGATTACTAGGGGCCTACACTGCCAGGGAGATTACTAGGGGCCTACACTGCCAGGGGAGACACAGGGGCCTACACTGCCAGGGAGATACTAAGGGGCCTACACTGCTGTGGTGATTACTAGGGGCCTACACTGCCAGGAGATTACTAAAGGGGCCACTGCCAGGGAGATTACTAGGGGGCACTGCCAGGAGATTACTAGGGGAGACACCAGGGGGGCTACTGCCAGGGAGATTACAGCCTGCCACTGGAGATTACTAGGGGCCACTGCCAGGGAGCACACTGCCAGGGAGATTACTAGGGGCCCAGGATATTACCAGGGGCCCCTGCTTCTCTCCGGGTCCCAGGCTGGCAGGGAGAGCAGTCCGGGTTACCTGCCCATGGAGGGGGCTGTGGCCCTCAGTCTCAGGCAGCACCGGGCGGCGGGGAGCATGGCGGCGGCTGGGTCGGGCTGCACGTTACACTCAGTCTGTCACCGGCGCCAACACATGGAGTCCTCCACACTGTGACCTTCCCAGCATGCACCGAGACAGCCCGTAACAAGGGCAATATGCAGCGCTCCGGGCGCCGGGTGATGACGTCACCGCAGCAGGCCGCCATGTTTGTGGTGGGAGATGCTGGGTGTCATGTGACCAAATAGGAGAGCCTGTATTTTATTATTATTTATTATTATTTATAATGAGAGTCATTGTACCAACCCTTAGAGACACAGCTTCAGGAGCTGCACTTACCCTTCATGACACAAACAATTTTAGCATTTTTTGCTGTTTGTATTCAACTGCAATTTGCATCTCTGTCATTTATTGCACCAACACACATTATATACTGTATGTTAGACAACAAAAAGGGCTTTAATTTAATGTCACAGATATAAATTCTCATTACCAAAAAATGATAAATAATGAGGAAAAAAACAAGTTTTGGCAATAATAATAATGTGTGCATAATATGTCCAGCTTAGGAAAAGTAATTCAAAATAAATTCATCTATGTGTCTTGATTTACAAAGTACATAATATGTTTAGGATTTCAGTTAATTTGAAAGTTACAGGTCACAAACTACAAAGTCTAAAATAAAATTTCAACGTGAAACAATTTTAGAAGTTGGTATGTTTGTCTTGGAAGTTTAATACCCATTACAGGAAACAAAATTGCCACACAAAAGTATATATTTATATAAAGTAGACATCACAGGCTATTTACCTTAGGTAGTTTGACACTTTTTGTGTAGCCATTTCACCGTCAATTTCTGCTAAATATTAGAGTAAAATTTTATTTTTTTCTCTATTTTGGCATATACACATATTACAAGGTTTTTGTAATGTGTATTTCGTTAAGCTAGTGTGTGTTATCCCTGTACAGAACCCCATATTGTGTTCAGCTACATCTGCTGAGTAAAACGATACCCCCATTGTATACCTTTGCCCCTATTCTGTGAAGCTACAATGCCATATAGGAGACCATGCTATTTCAGTTTCTATAGTTGGAATTTTCATAGATGGTCATATGTCTGATTTTGTAGCATTATAGCCATTTTACTGTTCAAATAACCCCACAAAGGCCTTCCATTTGAGAAAGCAGACACTCCAGGGTATGTTATTAGGAAAGAGACGTGACAAGTTCAGATTTTTAAGTGTGAATTTACATGGAGAGTTTTAATGGGTCCGTATTCTATTTTTAAATATGTTAGCAGGCTGCTTTTTCCAACTACCCCAAAAAGGCATACTATTTCTTAAAGAAGACGCCCGAGGGCATTTCAAAAGGCAAACTTTTAACCTCAGCGTGGGATGATTTTTCCGTTAGCTTGTATCAAATGTAGTGGTAATAAGCATTTTTTTTCTGCCTTTTTGACACACAGTGAGTTTGTACAGTATATTTTGCAAACCTTATGTGTGCTACTGCTTTATAATATTTTATATGTTGCTCAGCTATGTTGTCTGAGTACAGCAATACCCCCGTATGTACGTTTGCCAGGTATATGTGGACGTTAAAGGGGCACATTTCAGACACAGCCATTGCAGGTTTTTTCAAACTTTGAATTTTTACGCTGTGTTGTTACCCCACTTTAGAGTTTTTTAGCAGGCTATATATTCCAACTATCCCATAAAAGCATACTATTTCTTAAAGAAGACATCCCAAGGTATTTCAAAAGGCATATTTTGAACCTTAGTGTGGGATCATTTTTCTGCTAGCTTGTACCAAGTGTAGTGGTAATAAGCATTTTTTCTGCTTTTTTTTGACACACACAGTGTTTGTACTGTGTATTTTGCAAACCTTATGTGTGCTACGGCTATTTAATACATCCTATCTTGCTCAGCTATGTCGTCTCAGCACAGCAATACCCCCGTATGTACCTTTGCCAGGTATATGCGGACATTGAAGGGGCACATTTTAGACACAGCCATTTAAGTTTTTTCAAACTTTACATTTTTACTCTGTGTGCATACCCCACTTTGGAGGGTTTTTTTAGGTTAATTTTCCAGCTACCCCATAAAGACATACCATTTCTTAAAGAAGACACCCTAGGGTATTTCAAAAGACATGTTTTGAACCTTAGCGTGAAATAATTTTTCTGCTAGCTTATACCAAGTGTTGCGGTAATAAGCATTTTTTATGCCTTTTTGACATACTCACTGAGTTTGTAATATATATTTTGCAAACCTTATATGTGCTACAGCAGTATAATACATCATATGTTGCTCCGCTATGTCATCTGAGTACAGCAATACCCCCGTATGTACCTTTACCAGGTATATGACAACGTTGAAGGGGCACATTTGAGACACAGCCATTTAAGTTAGAATTTTTATGCTGGGTCCATGCCCCACTTTGGAATTTTTTTAATAGGTTGTGTTTTCTAATTACTTCACAAAGGCATACCATTTCCTAAAGAAGACACCCCAGGGTGTTTCAAAAGGCATATTTGAAACCTTAGTGTGGTATCATTTTTTTCGCTAGCCTGTACCAAGTGTAGAGGTAATAAGCATTTTCCCCCTTTTTTAAACTTTTTTTAACTTTTAAAAAGTTTTATTTAGCTTTTAACAACTTATTTTACTATTTTAAAACTTTGTTTAAACTTTTCAAAAAAATTTTTCACTTTTTTTTTTTCTTTTTAACTTTTAACCCCTAACTAGCCTAACCGTAAATCCCCCAATTTCCCCACTAACTTCTACCCACCCTAGCTATATTAATAAATTTTTTAAAATATTTAAATTAAATACATTTAACTCCTGAGGATTAAAAAAAATAAAAGTTAACCCTCAGGGGTTAAAAAATAATAATCAGATCACCGTGAAATACTGTGATCTGTATTTTGATCACTGCAGGCAGTGATCAAAGGGCAGGGAAGGGGTTAAATTTTATTTGAAAGAGGTGGGAGTGGGATTTTGTAACTAACTGTTTTTTTTTACAGGGAGACAGATCGGTGCTGCAGTTCACAGCTCACACGATCACATGGGCTGAATCAGTGAAACTGCCCATGGTAGTGTGCCTCCGACATGGAGACACACTACAGGAACATTAACCCCACGATTGTGGCAATCAGGGGTTAATTTCCATTTTGGATGGAAAATGTCCATCCAACATCCGTAAGGGGTTAATAATGTTATGGATAACTTGCCACTCAGGTATCCCTGCAGCAGTTTTATTTAGTATTTGCAGATATTCATGTCTTTATATAAGTAACATTGCAATTAAACCTCAACTTTGATTTCATACCGAGTCATTTTATTAAACTGCTGGAGAAATAGATAATAATTAATAATAATAATGATGATAATAATAATGGTATGAGATCAGAAGGGGGTAATTACAAATATACAAACCCACACCCCAACATTTCACATGGACAAAGAGGGACACTTTCACTTTACAATGTGAGTGGGGCTGTGCTGACAAAGTTTAGGTGATTTACTAATAATTTATGTAGCTAATCTGTAATTTAAAATACAGTTATTATAGTTTAAATACACATTACTGGGAGTATTATTACTGTGGAGCTCTGTTATACACTCAGACACATTACTGGGAGTATTATTGCTGTGGAGCTGTGTTATACAGACACATTACTGGGAGTATTATTGCTGTGGAGCTCTGTTATACACTCAGACACATTACTGGGAGTATTATTGCTGTGGAGCTCTGTTATACACTCAGACACATTACTGGGAGTATTATTGCTGTGGAGCTCTGTTATACACTCAGACACATTACTGGGAGTATTATTGCTGTGGAGCTCTGTTATACACTCAGACACATTACTGGGAGTATTATTGCTGTGGAGCTCTGTTATACACTCAGACACATTACTGGGAGTATTATTGCTGTGGAGCTCTGTTATACACTCAGACACATTACTGGGAGTATTATTGCTGTGGAGCTCTGTTATACACTCAGACACATTACTGGGAGTATTATTGCTGTGGAGCTCTGTTATACACTCAGACACATTACTGGGAGTATTATTACTGTGGGGCTCTGTTACACACTCAGACACATTACTGGGAGTATTATTGCTGTGGAGCTCTGTGATACACTCAGACATTACTGGGAGTATTATTGCTGTGGAGCTCTGCGATACACTCAGACACATTACTGGGAGTATTATTGCTGTGGAGCTGTGTTATACAGACACATTACTGGGAGTATTATTGCTGTGAAGCTCTGTTATACACTCAGACACATTACTGGGAGTATTATTACTGTGGAGCTCTGTGATACACTCAGACACATTACTGGGAGTATTATTACTATGGGGCTCTGTTACACACTCAGACACATTAATGGGAGTATTATTGCTGTGGGGCTCTGTTATACACTCAGACACATTACTGGGAATATTATTATTGTGGAGCTCCGTTATACACTCAGACACATTACTGGGAGTATTATTGCTGTGGAGCTCTGTTATACACTCAGACACATTACTGGGAGTATTATTACTGTGGAGCTCTGTGATACACAGACACATTACTGGGAGTATTATTGCTGTGGGGCTCTGTTATACACTCAGACACATTACTGGGAGATCTGTTATACACTCAGACACATTACTGGGAGTATTATTGCTGTGGAGCTCTGTTATACACTCACACATTACTGGGAGTATTATTGCTGTGGGGCTCTGTTATACACTCAGACACATTACTGGGAGTATTATTGCTGTGGAGCTCTGTTATACACAGACACATTACTGAGGGTATTATTACTGTGGAGCTCTGTTATACACTCAGACACATTACTGAGAGTATTATTGCTGTGGGGCTCTGTTATACCCTCAGACACATTACTGGGAGTATTATTGCTGTGAAGCTCTGTTATACACTCAGACACATTACTGGAAGTATTATTGCTGTGGAGCTCTGTGATACACTCAGACACATTACTGGGAGTATTATTGCTGTGAAGCTCTGTTATACACTCAGACACATTACTGGGAGTATTATTGCTGTGGAGCTCTGTTAAACACTCACACATTACTGGGAGTATTATTGCTGTGGAGCTGTGTTATACACTCACACACATTACTGGGAATATTATTGCTGTGGAGCTCTGTTATACAATCAGACACACCAACAATATGGAGCTCCTAGAAAAGAGGGACGAATAGATTGGCCCCAAAATAGGGAGTGTCCCTCCTAAACAGGGACACTTGGGAGGTATGCAAACCATTGCCTTACTGAGATTACTAAAATTAATAAGTTCAATATAAAGTCTTTAGTAGGTTAGCTGTATGTGAAAAACCAAACAATTATATTGTCAAATATCTGCTATATTAGATAGACAGGACAAATAATTATAAACAGTTATTCATAAAATATTGATTGTGGAGAATTGTCTATGGCATTGCAAGTTCCAGGACTTAACTGTTCAGTGGAAACATTCTCCAAATCAGCTATTATACAACTTAACTGAAAATTCCAATTCTCCATATTCCCTGGTTTAATGAACGAACCAAAACATTACTGCGTTCTAAATAAGTTACAGAATGAACATGACTTTTTATACAAATTCAACTGGACAGTACTATCCCAACCCAAAAGCATAACCCTAGTAGAGCAACCTTTCAATTACAGAGGATTATGAACACCCCTGATATAACATTATAAAGAATTAGCCTCCCTTCCTTTAATTTACTTTATCCCAAATCATTTCACCTTACGCTCCTCCGTTTTAAGCCCATCTTCTCGAATTACTGTCCTTTTCTTCACCGCCTCATGTCATCTTAACCTCCTCTCTCCTGTCAAGTTACGTTCCATATTTCTCTAATATTCCTTTCAATGTACACACTCATCACGCAGTCTGCCCTAATTCCCACACTCATCACGCAGTCTTCATTCTACTTGGATCACTCATTCACACCATCAACTGCCTACCACTACAAGGCAACATTACCTAAAAAGCAATGTGTGGGCTCTCAGCCATGTGTAATACTATATGGCGTATTACTGCCACCCATGTGGTGCGACTATCAATGGATTCAGGAATGTTGGCAACTCTTTATCAAGAACGATTTCGGAATAAAGTTCTTAAAGAAAACCAACAGGACATGCTGCAGATAGGTCCAAATTTGACCAATTTATAGGAAAAAAATCTCTGTATGTATGGACATAATCAGTCACTTGAGTATTTCACAATAAAATTGGTCACTATCTAGCTGTTGTGGAACTAAAAATCGCCTGTTGCTTTGATAGGCTTGCAGAGCATCTTGGGACTTGTAGTTTCAGCTGGTAAGCTACTGGTTTAAAATCCCTGCCACAGAGCTTTGCCCTATGTGTCAGCATGACACATTCTTGATGAAGATGTCAGCCCTTATTGACAGATTGATTGTAAGCGGAACCAATAGAACAGACCAGCCAGATTTGAAAAACACAAGGGGATCTTGTTCTGATAAATGTTTATTATATTGATAACTAACAAGTCACTAAACCAGGAGATTAATACAAATACAACAGAAACAGAAACGTGTGAACCACCCACCGTAAGATAGCTTTCTGTAACCTGGTGTGTTTCACAATCACAATAAGCTTTAAAGAACACAAGAGGACAGCTGGGATGGAATGAGTCTGTGGGATTATGTTTAAATGTACCCCTTGCTTAAATCACAGTTTCACCGTTACTGCAACAGCAATAAAAAAAAAACCCGTCAGATTAACTCCTACCATTGAAGGTGTCATACATATAAAAGGAATAATAGCATAATTTCTACAGTATTATATATATTTTAAAGAGGCATATTCTGCCCATTATGTGTATACTAGTATAATTCTGAGCTCACATTATAAAATCTTCAAATGTTTGGGGAAACTTTATTTTCCATTTATCTTTGACACAAACCCCGAAAATGTCCTGGTTCCTGGAAAGTGAAAGTCTCTGAGAGCTAGGAAGTCGCCATTCTAATTCCCGTCATCTATACATTGTGCCAGTAAATGCTAGTTTGTAAAGAAATAAAGGTTTTGTAAATTGGGGGCCCATTTCTGGTGATCACCGCCACACTGGTATGTAAAATCATTAGTCTGTTTTATTGTATGCAATATATCATTCTGATATCAAGGGGTAGGTCTTCAATTTCTCAATCAATTGCCCTCCTTCCTTACTTGCTCATTTTGGCAGTATTTCGATAGGTGTCCTATTAAATATTTTGCTTTATCGACTACATATGCAAAGTTTGTATTCCCTATATAGGTCATATTACAAACATCAATGCAGATATTACACATCTGATATAGCAGAAAAGAACTAAACATGAGTTACTGAACACTTACAGGATAAATAGCTTTAGCTTTGAAAGGCACACTTCAAGCAATGAAACCGAGACGGCATCGCTGGGCTTAGCTCAGACAGAGCTTGTATCTCTCCATAGGAAGTAGTGAAGGCGGAGAGCGGTGCCTGGCGTGCCACAGGTAATAAATTAAATCAGTTTGATTCCTTACAGGGAGGGAGGGGGCACTCTATAAAGTGTTTCTTTAATATCGTAATGAAAAAACATCTTGGAGATTGTAGTTAATGGATACTTAGCTTTATGATCCCCTATTACAGTTGGGAGTTAAGATACACAGACAGCTTCACATTTCTCTGTTGCCATTTCCTGTGGATGGCAAACCACTTCATAGCTGGTAACAAAGTTTTACTCTCCATGATTAGTAAAACAAAAAGGAGCAGCTAATGTTCTCTAGAGGCATAACTCAAATTGTGGGTACTCTTATCACTATTAAAATGATAAACTGGCTTCTTGTTGGGAGGCAATGGAAAGTCGTTCCACGACAGCAGGAGCATGCATTTGACATGGGTCTTCGTTACAGAGATTGCTAGCGTGGACTAGGGGTACTCTGTATAAATACAAGCTATTTTAAAGACAAACACGATGTGAGAATCAGGTGTTACAGAGAGAGTAAGCCCCCTGTTAATGTAGAGTGCTCCTCTGGGATCTGGTGATATTATATCGGAGGAAGGAAGCTTGCGGTCATAGTGTGAGACACTGGAAATGGCAATTACATTAATGTAGTGTTTTACTGCAGCGGGCTACATGCTAAACACACTGGGGGCAGGAGAGGTTAGCTAAATCGGACATGGTTTAAGGAACAGAGAAAGATGGCTTCTAGGATCAGTCAAATGAGATGAGCTGGGCTTCGCTGCCCCCTGGCCCCTGCTGGCCATGTGCTGGTTGCTGCTGTTGAGGTTGCTGTTGACCGGCTCCTACTGGCATCTGGAAGAAAAGAATGAGTTCAGCATTCCTAAATCAGACCCATCAGTAACAGCCAAGTCTCCCTCCACCTCAACTAACTGATGAGAACTACTTTCTTAATGTATAGATTTTTTATTTACTTCTAAAGTTAGCTACTAGTGCTACAGACCAGAAGGCAAAAAAAGCACCCATAATCCATGTACGCAGATTCCAACAAGATACTAAACCAACACAAAAGCGTGCCATATGATGTACATTGGACACACTACACCAGATTTGTAAACATTCTATTCCCGAGATATTGCCCAAAACACTCTGCACTCCTCCTAAAGCTCTACTTCTACACAAACCATCTATCCAGCACTTACCGGCTGGTACATAGGCTGCTGTCCTCCAAGGAAAGGCTGCTGAGAGGGCATGTTGCTCAAAGCTGGATCCTGACCAGGGAGAGTAGTCATGAGGTTCTGTAGAAAAGAGAGTGAGATAAAGCCATACTTAGATTCACATTCTGTAATGAAGACTTGACTGAGTGAGTTAAAACATTCACATCCCAGAAAGACTGAATAATTAAAATGAGCTATCAAATAAGGAGTAAATGCAGTGTACAAGTAATCACTATGTATGGTTTCAAAGCAAGTTATTCCATTAAAAAAATAAATACAAATAAATATTATATATATATATATATATATATATATATATATTTATTAAAATGGAGGAATTTTTTCTTTTACCAGTTTATCCTCTAAAACAAACACAAAACAGCAGCACTGGGAATATCAGAATGAAGATGGACCTAACTCCTTTCTCTGTTACTTAAGACAGATTTACCTGCATATTGTACGGCTGGTAACCCATGGGAACGTTCTGAGTGGGCATGTAACCTATGCCGCCTGCTGTAGGATTCTGGGACATTGGAGGAAGGCTCTGTGAAGCCACATTCTATGAACAGAAACCAAGTTATTCAAACTGTCACCTCCACCGGGATCTCAAACTTCTTATCCATTACATTTTCGAACGTTCTTACAGATATAGGATCACTGCAATGTTCTGATCAGTTGTTTAAAATGTGAAACATTAAAGAAGTAAATAAATACAAAGTACCACATTTCCTCTAGTCAAGGGTCAAACAGACAAGGTCTTGGGTCAGTGAAGCTCCTCCTTTTCTTGGTCTTACCTGGTAAGGCTGGGTAGGTGTAGGTTGGTAAGAGGTATATGCTGGGTTGGTTGTTGGCACTGGTTGCCCTTGCTGAGCTGAGGGTGCCGAGCCACCTTGATACATGTAGGCATTCACCATGTTGGGATCTGGGGGAGCAGCGAGAAGTTTAGAATATAGACTGTGAGCCATCTGAATGTACAAACATCTCAAATCATAGTAATGAAGCGACCCTCACCTGTGCCCGGCACCTGCATGGGTGGGTAAGGAGCAGAGGTTGCCTGACCTGGCTGATTCATATACACACCATGCATTGGGGATCCCTCAACAGAGCCTGATGGACTGAATGTGCCGGGGTAGGCATTTGGCCCAGAGGGCTGGTACATGACTCCTCCTGATGCTGGCAGTGACTGTAGCTGCAAAAAAGCACAGAAGTTATTGAGAGCTTGCCAATAGTAAGACCTGGGCCTAAGTCTGCACGATTTGAGTACCTGTGCATAAGGCAAGGAGAAAGCTGGCATCTGAGCCCTCATTTGGATGGTCTGTTTGTGTTGCTCCAACCGAAGCTGTCTTTCCTTCTCTTGCTCCTGCAGACGTTGGATGGCGAGCTGCCGTTGCATTTCTAGGTATTCCTGGAACATAAAACTTTTCATCAGATAAAGAAAGCTTATAAATAAGGTGGAGTTCTGTGACTACACGGAGCAAAATAATCCCAAACAAGTCAAGGAACAACCTGAAATCAGATCATTGACAGTTATAGAAGCAAAACAAAGTCAGTACTTTGGTCTACGGGATACTGCTCTCTCCTGGTGCTCCTCCTACCTCACCCAGCGCTCTTTCAGTGTTTCTTTCTCTGGTTCTGCCTCTTCACCCCAACCCCTCTCTGTCGGCGTCCCCCAAGGTTCTGTCCTCGGCCCACTACTGTTCTCTATCTATACTGCCTCCATTGGTAAACTCATCAGCTCCTTTGGCTTCCAATATCATTTATATGCAGATGACACGCAAATCTACCTGTCCTCCCCTGATCTCGTGTTTCTGACTGCCTCTCTGCTATTTCCAACTGGATGGCTGCTCACTTCCTTAAACTCAACCTGTCCAAAACAGAACTTCTAGTTTTTCCTCCCTCAAGTGCTGCTACTCCTGTGTCTGTCTCCATCCAAGTCAACGGAGCTACTATCACCTCTACCTCGCAGGCTCGCTGCCTAGGGGTCCAATTGATGGCCAAATCCTGTCGCTTCCAACTCAAGAACATAGCGCGCATCCGCCCATATCTAACGCCGGACGCGGCTAAGGTACTGGTTCATGCTGCTGTTCTCTCTCGCCTTGCCTATTGCAATCCCCTTCTCACCGGTCTTACATGTTCCCAGCTTGCACCGCTGCAATCTATAATGAATGCGTCTGCAAGGCTTATTTTCTCGTCTGGTCACACCTCCCACGCCTCCACTCTGTCAGTCCCTGCATTGGCTTCCAGTTAGATATAGGGCCCAATTCAAAATTCTGGCGCTTACTTACAAATCCCTACATAATGCTGCTCCAACATACTTATCCTCCCTCATACACAAGTATGTCCCGTCGAGACCCCTGAGCTCAGCCCAAGACTTACGCCTATCCTCTGCCCGGATCCCCACCTCTGATGCTCGCCTTCAAGACTTCTCCAGGGCTGCACCTATTTTGTGGAACTCCCTTCCCTCCTCAATCAGACTTTCACCCAGCCTCCACTCTTTCAAAAAAATCTTTGAAAACTCACTTCTTCATTAAAGCGTATCAATTAAACTGTCAGCAGGTTTCTCATCCCCCACCCCATGACTCCTTTCCTGCAACTGTCAAAAATGACCTACCAAGCATTCAATAAACCCTTCTCTAACAAACTATGTAATTCCCCTACTTTAACCCTTTGTGTCACTATACCACACTCCCTCTAGCATGTAAGCTCATCGAGCAGGGTCCTCAACCCCCTCTGTTCCTGTACGTCCAGTGGTCTGATCTCAGTTATGTGTCTGTTAGTCCACCCATTGTACAGCGCTACGGAATTTGCTGGCGCTATATAAATAAAATAATAAATAATAATAATACAAATAGTGTCCACATAGACATCAACAAAGTCCCTATAACAGAGTACCTGCTTCTTTTGCCTCATTATCTCCAGTTTCTGTGCCAGCTGTATTTGCCGTTGTCTCTCTGCCTCCTCCGCGGCACGGCGTAGCTTCTCGCGGTGCTCCTCACGGAGTGCGTTTAGTGCACCCCTTGCATCCCTGATCTGGGCCAACTTGTCCTGCAGTCCTTCGTAGTACACTGTTTGGAGAAGCCAGTATTTTATTCCATCTCACTCAAATAACACATGGTACACACATTGTTGCCACCACCTGCACATTCTAAAGTCATTTTATGGTCACTCACTCTCTCTTTACAGTGGGTAATTCCCAGTAATTCCATTTCATGATTGCCAATAATAATCATTGCGGCAAATATCAAACCTTATTATTAGCAATCTTGAAATGGAGGAAAGAGTCCACTTGACCTAAATGCCTCTGGGTATATAAAGCTGTATATAAAAAGGTTTCCATTGGCACATAATGAATAACAGAATCACCTACACCACATTAGGAGCGGTAGATACCATTTCCAACCCAATGCGCGTCCCCTCACCCCACAATCTACAAGTCCCATCACAACACTCACAGCGCCTCTCGTCTAGCTGATTGAGCAGCTCCAGTAGCTGCGGGTGCATGTTGTTTATGGACTGGAAGAGGGAAAGAACGGCGGAGTCGTTGGTGATACTCCTGCCACGCATATGGTTGCTCTTCATTCGGTTGACGAAGGTGGTGACAGCATTCTGCAGGGCTTTCAGGAATTGTTCGTGGTTCTCCTCCGATTCCCCATTCTGGTACTGCTGCTAGAGGAGAGGGAGAGAGGTCAGTCCTGGCTCAGTCGGTGCACGGAAAATATCATACTAATTCCTTGGAACATTAAAAATAAGTACACACTGCCCCTGATTTAGTAGTGAAAGGTACTTTTAAGAACTCCATGTACTGTATTCATGATATAATTCCTTGGGCCCACATTCCCAAAATTCAGCAGACATTCAGCCTCTCGAGTGAATACATTTAAAAATAGTTATAATCCCCTTTAAAGATTAAACAGTACAACATAAAAGAGATTTTATATCCCCTAATATACACCACATGGTGTAAAGAATAAAGATAGCTATATTACAATTGACATAGCATTAATAGCTCAGCCTTGCCTGCTCTTACCTCCATCACATTCACCATGCTCACTGGAGGCACTTCACTTGCCTGGACCACCGGCTCTGCCATTGGAATGGGTGCGGATGGAGTGGGGCTTTTTCGCACCTCCTCTTGCTTCTTCTCCCAGTAGTTACGATTGAGGTAACGAGCGAGCTTTGGGAAAGGGGAGACAGAGAAATAGAGTCACGATGAAAAAACAAGAACAGCAAACATGAAATGGTCTGTTTCAATTTTCTGTTTGTGTTACCTCTGGGTCGATTTCCTCAGCAAGAGGGGCAGATGAGTTCTAGAGAGATATAAAAAAAAAATATACAAATATATTTATTGAGATTGAGCATCCTATGAGCCTCCCTTACTCAACACACTTTTACTTGGAGCAACGCTTCTTCCCTTCCATTTAGACAATCTAATTCTCCTTCCCACACCCTCTCCTCCATCACACCCCTACCATATTCCTGTCCTCATACCCTTTACCACTCTCTTCCCTACATCACACCCATGTTTGTAGCTGCTCAGCATATTTACATGGGGGCAGAAGAGAGGGGTTAAGAGGCTATGAATGTGTGTTTAAGAAAATGATTCAAATAAATGGGGGTGGAGGGGGAGTCTTTCATCAATGTCTAATTGTACAGATACTCACTGCAACAGTGGAGTACAGTGTGCTGGCTGGAGGGGCAGAGGAGGTAACGGGCGTAGGATCAGTCTTTGGGTACATGCCATAGGTGGTCTTTTGCTTCTGTAATGAAGAAACAAAGTAACACAAGATGTTTAAATCTTTGATGCGTTGAGGAAGCATCACTAACATTTGTTGGATAATCCTGGCATTATTTTGCATGTATATAGAAATAAACAAGCATACACTGAAATGCAGTATTTTAATGGTTACTGTTATAAGAACTAGGTATGCCGTGCAAATACTGTATAATCATGTCATTTAAATACCATTAAATAAAAACAATTATTTGCATTACATTTAGATGCATGCTTTCTATCTGATCATTAAAGGAACACGCTACACACCGAAACAACTATAGCTTAAATAGTTTTTGAGTATAGATCTCACTGCACTATTCTCATTCAGGAGTTAAATCACTTTGTTCATGCAGCCTTAGCCACACCTCCTGAGACTCACACAGCCTCCCTACGATTTCCTGAAAAGTAGTCAAATTAACAGGAGGTGTGACTGGGGCTGCATAAACAAAGTGATTTGACTCCTAAATGGCAGAAAATCGAGCAGTGAGACTGCAGAGGTAGGATCTGTACAACAAAACGGCTTAATTAAGCTAAAGTTGTTTTGGTGGTACGAGTCTCCCTTTAATCATTGACAAGGGTTGGTAGGATTGGGAGCAAAAATTCAATTGAAGTGGTTTAAATTATGAATTTATTAACTCACTAGTAATTCACCAATATATTTCGACAGTCGATAATTTTTTACACAAATCTGGCATTAAATAAACATGCTGACAGCAATCGCACTCATATCACTCTCAGTCAGCACCTCCCTGTCTTCAGATGAGCTCTGCATGTGGGAACTCACAGGGAGGGGAGATGTGAGGTCGCGACGTGGCACCTCATTGGCTAGTGCGGTGACAGAGAAGTGAGTAAGTTATCAGTAAATTACAAGACCGATTATCACAAATATGCCGAATACTGGCTCTAATAATTGGGCTAACAACTCACCATCCGCTCTTTTTCCTCGGCCTCAGACTGAGACAGGGCGATTGCTAGCTGCAGCTCCTCCTCCTCCTGCAGGGCTGCCTCATCACGCTTGGGAGGCATCTACAGTTGGAGACAGGTACCAAGATGAAGCACGTGGAAAGGAAAGAATAGCCAGTAAATAATAAAAACAATGCCCTAAACTAAGGAAAGATTAGACACAAGTTAGGGAGTGTGGGAGACAGGAAAATCACTTGAGCTGGTACTATTAAACTAAAGCACCAACAGCAATTGTAGAGGAATTTGTGGTGTTTTGGATTTGAAGTGTGTTGAGTGTGTTGAGTGTTGCGATCAATCTTCTCAGCTGAGATGAATTACTGTTTGTTGATTTGGTGTGGTGCAGCCTCCTAAACATTTTACAGCGTGTAGTCTAACTGCTGCCATGCTCACCTTTCTGTTGGAAGTCTCTGTCCCTGCCGCTCCCGGCTCCTCCTGCCCCACCTGTGTCTTAAATTAACAATTAAACAAAGACAAGAAGGGAAAGAATAATAATATGAGAGGAGCCGGACGAGCAGAGGAGACTAGAGGTCAATCAGAGAGGGACTAATATCTTGGGGAACCACGGAAAACTAGACCCACTGCTCTCACGGAAAACTAGACCCGGTGCCCTCAAAGACAACTAGACCCGGTGCCCTCAAAGACAACTAGACCCACTGCTCTCATGGAAAACTAGACCCGGTGCCCTCAAAGACAACTAGACCCGGTGCCCTCAAAGACAACTAGACCCGGTGCCCTCAAAGGCAACTAGACCCGGTGCCCTCAAAGGCAACTAGACCCGGTGCCCTCAAAGACAACTAGACCCGGTGCCCTCAAAGACAACTAGACCCGGTGCCCTCAAAGACAACTAGACCCGGTGCCCTCAAAGACAACTAGACCCGGTGCCCTCAAAGACAACTAGACCCGGTGCCCTCAAAGACAACTAGACCCGGTGCCCTCAAAGACAACTAGACCCGGTGCCCTCAAAGACAACTAGACCCGGTGCCCTCAAAGGCAACTAGACCCGGTGCCCTCAAAGGCAACTAGACCCGGTGCCCTCAAAGGCAACTAGACCCGGTGCCCTCAAAGGCAACTAGACCCGGTGCCCTCAAAGACAACTAGACCCGGTGCCCTCAAAGACAACTAGACCCGGTGCCCTCAAAGACAACTAGACCCGGTGCCTTCATGGACAACTAGACCCCGTGCCCTCAAAGACAACTAGACCCGTTCCCCTTAAAGACAACTAGACCCGGTGCCCTCAAAGACAACTAGACCCGGTGCCCTCAAAGACAACTAGACCCGGTGCCTTCATGGACAACTAGACCCCGTGCCCTCAAAGACAACTAGACCCGTTCCCCTTAAAGACAACTAGACCCGGTGCCCTCAAAGACAACTAGACCCGTTCCCCTGAAAAACAACTAGACCCGGTGCCTTCATGGACAACTAGACCCGGTGCCTTCATGGACAACTAGACCCGGTGCCTTCATGGACAACTAGACCCGGTGCCTTCATGGACAACAAGACCCACTGCCTTCCCGGCACAAAATGCATAAAAGACAATAAATACTCAAAGTTAAACAAATATGTGAGAAAGGGAATATTTCCTTAGACCACCATCACCTTCTAATGTTATTTCCAGATGTTTCAAAAGGCTCTTGTTAGTTTTAAATATCTAACAACTTCACGAGGAGGTGGTGTATTTTTCTACTCTAGGTATTGGTGACTTTGTTTGTACTTGTTCTGGTAAAGGAAAACAGACCAGACAAATAAAGCAGAACTAGGTGGGAACGCACAACAAAATAAGAAAGTTTCTTTGCGCAACGCTTGCACAACTCCATGGAGCACAGACATGAACATACTGACAGGTCCTCATATTCAGCTCTCCAGCAAACACACAGAAGTGGCACACGAACATTTACGATACATACATAATGACCAACACTCCGGGGATGGACCAGTACACCTCAACACAGGCAGGGTAATCAAGTATCAGGATTTAATATGGACACAATGGATGCATATCAACAGGAGCAGAGAAGACTTGGGAACTCACCTGTGATTGCTGAGATAGAGGGCTGGTAAGATACTCGGGGGGCAACTCTCCACTTGATGTGGATTTGCCCTCACCTTTCCTGGAATGAAAGAAACATATCAATGTGTCTGCATGAGAAAGGTGCAGATCTATAAACATGGCATGATGGGTAATACAATATCTGGACGAGTAACAGGTGGAGGAGATGGACAGGATAAAAACTCATGGTGTGAAGAAAGTTAAAAACATGAACAGTGCAGCTCAAGCTATAAATTAGCACAGAGGAAGGAAAAACACTGAAGTGTTAGCTTCTACATTCAGCCTCCTTTCTTCCCTCACTTACTTGTTGAGCTGCTCGAAGCAAGGCTCACAAACTCGAACCTCCTTCTCAATTCCAAACTTCGGGATGGTAGAGTATTTGGAAGAACATTTCCCACAGAAGATCTGCCCACAAGCACGACAATGGTGCTGCAAAGAAAGGGAGAACACGTAAGACAGGGATGAAAGTGAGAAACACAAAGGGGTAAGCAAACAAAGGAATGTAGAAGGCAAGGGAGTATGAAGTTGAGTATGAAAAGAAATGGGAAAATAATGGGAAGCTATGGATATACATGAAATGTCCACGTTCTTGCAGAGAAAAGCACCTAACACTGACCTTTCGGGTCATTACCCCAAACTGCACCCGACAACGGTGGCACTCCTCAGCATCCACCCACTCAGGAGCCTGCAAAATATGAGCATTTATATTTTCTTTTTGCTCGGCATGGCAAAAGAAGGCAATATATTTAGAAAAAATTAGTAGGAGGCACACGTGTCCAAATTTGCCAAACTCACCCGCTCTGCGGCAAACATGGCATCGCTCTCCTTAAACTCAGGAAAGTTATGACCTGGAATAAAAAAAGTTTTTTAGAATAATTATGGGGCTAAACCTATTTTGGTGCTATAATTAACATAAGACAGGAAAAAAAAAAAAGCATTTTGACCTCAGTAAGCTGGTTTCACTGTTTCAGCTACTCTGTATCTCTCTCTCTGTGTGTGTGATGTGTTTCACACATGTTTCAATTAGCCACACACTGCAAACCACACACTTCTGCACAACTGTGGTACTGCAGTTACCATGAGCCTCTGCCAGACTGTCATACGATAGCTATAGGCTGTTATCCTATGGAAATACAGTATAATACTATAAATATTGCCCCACAACTTACCCTCCACCTTCATGATTTGGTATGTATCTTGCACAACCTTATACTTTGGCTCGTTACGAAAGGCATGGGCCCATGCCTGGATCAGGTAAAGGATCTTGTTTCGTACGTTGGGCTCCACCTGTCGCTGAAGAGAACATTAACACTTGTCACATGAACATGGCCCAGGATCGCGTTCTATTAATGGTTATGAAGGCACAGAGATCTTTAGGTGAGGCTCCTAGAGAATAACTTGGTTACACAAAGCAAAGAGAGCACTGAGATTAGAAGTCGACTCAGCTCTCAAGTGAGAGAGAAAACTGCCTAGCAGCTTGTAAAACAAGAAAAGGAGTGGATCTCGCATAAACACGAAGCCTAATCTCTGTATGTTAAATGTGACACTATCATGATCTGAGCTCAATGACACACCGGCTCACCTGACTAATCAGGAAGCTGTGAAACATGGTCACATGATTCACCATTCTGCTCTCTGCAGGGAATTTCCATCCAAGTATAGAGCCCCAAGCAAGAATAAACAAAACAACCAGAGAATACTCACACTTCCTGGTGGGCTTGTCAAAGCATACTGTTGGGGGGATAGATTTTCTTTGGGGGCTTAGGAGGAGATGTTGGCTTTTGATGCATACAACACACACTACTTGGAGGAGTAGTGGTGGGGTGGTGGCAGGGAGATACACATCACTGTGGTGGGGGTGGGTTTTGGTGCACACTCATGGTACACTGTCGCCCTTGTTTTAAATGCACACTGTCAGGCTGGGGGAGAGTGTGTCACTGATATCATATGAGGGTTTCATACAGATTTATTCTGCTTAGCTGTAGCCAAGGGAGGTTAAGAGTTTGCTCTCACCTGGCTGAGGTATGGTATTTTAGCTATCTCTTTCAGATTTGATAGATGCCCCAATTATATTATCTTTATCCACTTAAAGACCACATGGCGGTCTCTGGTGTCATACTGTGCAGGGCTTTAAGACCATTAGTAAAGGTACCTGCAGTGGTAACATCTTGCTGTTGTCAAGGAGCTCCAGGGTCTCCTCGGTCAGCTGGGGATGCAGTTAGTGGCCCCAGACTGACAGGACAGCTATGAGCAGCACCCAGAATAAGCGCAGCTCATAGTCCTTTAAATCTCTCTCAGTCGCAGTATTTCTGAGTCTGCCCTCTAGAAAAAAGAAAAAAAAAAGCCCCAGGTATTTTTAGATATCTGGGGGTCCTCTCTGTCTGTTGGGGCCAGAGTAAGTGTCGCCAGACTGACAGTAGAGCTATGACCAGTGCTCAAAGAGCAGCTCATAGCCCTTTAAATCATTGCTCATGCTGCAATCAGACAGAGCCCTATGTACTGTGTGAGCTGGGAAATCCCTCTCCCTTGAGAAGTGAGCTTAGTGGTAGGATTACGACAGGAATTATGGGTTAGATTAGAGGAGAAGGTATACATGTGGGGTATCACTGTACTTGAGAATAGTAGCAGAATACAAACATGGGATGTTTGCAGTAGTGGGACATGGTATGTAAATGTTTCCAAAAAGTGGAATAAAACCCACAAACAAATTATTTATTTGACCTTGGTTTGCAATAAAATGATTAACTGTAAAGTGTCAAAATGCTCTTAGTTACATAGCCTGTAACTACAAATATATACTTGTGTGTAGCGATTCTGGATTCCGTGACTGCTATAAAAGTTGTAATCTCAGCATGCCAAATTTTGAAAAGTTTTAGCTTTGCAACTGTAATTCACTTCTTGCAATAGTTGTTTTACAACGTCTAAAAATGTATTAAAATCCTACATATATTGGGAATTTAACAATCAGGACTAATTAGTAAATCTAGTTTGAGTTAGTTTTCTTAATTTGCAATTGGTGTGCAGAAATTATTAAAGGGACACTATAGTCACCAGAACAACTACAGCTTCTTGTATTTGTTCTGGTGAGTATAATCCGTCCCTTCAGGCTTTTTGCTGTAAACACTGTTTGTTTCAGAGAAAATGCAGTGTTTACATTACAGCCTAGTGATAACTCCACTGGCCACTCCTCAGATGGCTAGTAAAGGTGCTTCCTGGGGCAGTGCTGCAGTGTGACTGACATTCAGTGTCTCCACCCTCTGCATGGAGACACTGAGCTTTCCTCCTAAAGATGCATTGATTCAATGTATCTATAAGAGAAGATGCTGATTGCCCAGAGCTGTGTCTGGCTTGTGCTGGATCTGACCTGATCTGCCTCCTTGACAGTCTCAGCTAATCCTATGGGAAAGAATTGTGATTGGCTGCGATCACCACTTCTGATGATGCCAGCCAAGCAGGCAGATCAGGGTCAGAGCCAGCAGCAGTCTGGAATAAAGGTAAGATTTTATTATATTTACGGTGTAAGGGGGATGGGCGGGCAGGGGGGCTAGATGGTGTTTTTAACACAATAGGATCAGGAATACATGTTTGTGTTTCTGACCCTATACTGTTCCTTTAAATGGAAAACTGAGAAGAAGAAAAAAAAAGTAGTGTTTTTTTCTCCATGTTTTTAATATTTTTTTATATTTTTCCTTTAAAAAATTATATATAATATATATGGGTGCACTTAAAAAGAAAGCGAGAAATTATAGTAGAATAAACACATGGCAACAGCGACAAAAAGGCCTTAATCACAGTTGTGTAACATCACAAAAAAGTCTTACTCCTTAAGAGGTTAAATAACACACCTGGCACCATAACCACTACTAAGCCACTTTGATATGATGTCTTTGAGATCTGATTGAAAATAAAACCATTTTTTCATGGAGGCTGTGTCAGTCACAGCCACGGGAGGTGCATTGTTTCATACTTTTACTGTCGACGTCTTCTCTATTTCAAATTAGCTCATGAAAATTAAGCTTTAGTCATTTTTAGAAATGTGCTTCTATTCTTAGATCTCGCTCTAGGTATCTTTACTTTTTCTCTGTCATACAAACAATCGAGGTACAGGGCTGGTGACAGACAGCTGGGGAATTTGGATGATGTTCTGGGTCTTATTTATTAACATTTAAATTAATAGAATTAATTTTTTTTTAAAAAGAATTAAAAAGTTAAAATGGTATAATTTCATTAGGTTTCATTACAGTAAACAAAAATGACTTTGTTAAGGTCTGGCTCGCCAGGGTGGGCCTTTCCCCCATCTGATGACCCTGGGTCCATTACCTTCTGTAGTTCTTTCAGTTCCTCCATGGTCTGCTTGTTCGCCACCTCATCGTGCACAGTCTGGCCGCAGTTTTTCACCACAGACTCCAGAACCTGTACGGAACACAAAACGGTGAGATCGACCACCTGTCTGGATATTATGGGAACACCATTTTCTTATTGTTTACCGAGCTCTAAAAATAAACAGGCACTAGATATAATGTTATCAAAGAAACATAGAAAGGACAAGGCTTCCTGAAATGTATATAAATATATACTGTATGTGGTACATGTTCCTAGGTTTGACCTTATTCCACAGATACACTGAGAAACCTCACCTCGAGAGCAAATAGAGCCACGTGTGGATTCTTGTCATTGACCTTCTTCTTGATGGCATTCACGGCATATTTAGCTCTAAAATAAGAAATGTGGGGTGAGTCTTCACCAACAGACAGAACTAGAGACAAAGAGGAAAGGCTAATTGAAGATTACCTCTAATCCTAATAACATGAAAACACCAACGGAAAACTGTCAGTTCATAGAATTTTTAATACTGACAGAGTTAGTTACTAAAGTGATAATTCAAAGTGAATTCCAAATTTAAGTCCAGAGTAGCCAAACTGAAAAAAACTGCCACATTTTTCCATTTTGACTAATTTCAAATGTTGGCTTTTTTCATTTTGACCTTAAATTTGAAATTCACTTTGAATTCTCACTGTAGTAGATAACCCTGTGTTTTTTGTGTGTTATGTGTCTGTTACATCTGAAAAATGACCTTAATAGAGCTGCAAACTAGCCAATATAAACATATAGAATACAATACATTCGAAAGCACTACCTACTGCCCGAAAATCATTCTAATATTCTTAAAATACATGATGTGAACTTTTTGACTATTTATTAATATGCTATTTCAATTACGGTCTCCTCGATATTAATGAGGTAAATCAAACATGTCATCTCAGTGAAGTTGACATGATATAGAGTTGTAATTCATATGATTCAACCCCCCCATTGAAAATCAGGTTTATTATCAAGATTTACAGACTTTCAGCTGTTTGCAATGAACAAATCAAACAAAAGCAACTGAAATAGCTCGACACAAATCAAAAGCTTTAAGTGGTTTCCTAAAATTCAACAGAAAATGCAACTTATAATGACTTCTCCAGTCTAAAAATTATTCAACCCCCTGAATAGAATCCCTCACAGCAGCACAAATATGCGAAATAGGTGTTGTCTCAAGTGCTTGATTAGTTGCACCAGGTGTGCTTGAGCTGGAGCACTTAAAATACATGAACTGGCTAGGGGTTTGTTGAATGTCACGTTTAACTGCATGTTAGAAATAGAGCTAAGTCAAAAGAATGGTCCACAAAGTTAAGAGAAGAGCTCATTGTCTTCACAAATAAAAAACAGGATACAAAAAGATAGCTACGGCACTGAATGTTCCTGGAGACACTGTTGGAAGCATAATTTGCAAGTTTAAAGTTGAAGGAACAGTGATTACACTACCTAAATGGGACAAAATAAAGAAGCTGTCAATGGCTGCAATCAGATTTCTGAAAAGGCAGGTTTTGAAAAACATTCTAGTGACTGCAAAAGACAAGGTGGCAACAGGCACCGAGGTTTCAGTGAGCATAGTAAGACTCGCACTAAACGCAGAATGTTTTCCATGCCAGACCTCCAAGTAGTACTGTCCCAAAAGCACAAGAAAAGTCGGCTCCAATGTGCACACACAATAACATCCTATGTCATGTTTCCTATTAGAAATACTCAGCAGAAAGCTGGCTGCAGCAGGGATTATTAAAAGTGTTTGTTTTCGTGTCTGGGCATTGTCCAAAATGCAGATTTAGCCAGGTGTATTCTTACACTAAGTTTTAGTAGGGGTAGAGGTTGCCCAGGTGCCTAGAATAAAGCTTTAACATTCAGATGTTGGACTTCTGTACTAGAAAACTATTTATGTATTTGAGGAAAACACAATATGGTGTGAAACACAATGGAGATTCATGCACACACACTGAACTGAAATCGGAATGACAACATTTAAAGAACATTTTTATCCGATCTAGAAAAATTATCTGCCTTCACTAGTCACAGCTCGGCTATTCTGGCCCGAATTTGCCCATTTGTAATTCAATTTGCTGCAACCCAGGGTTTTGTGCATAAACAACAAAGCTACTACTTGTTTAACTGCATGAAAATCTGAGAAATAATAAACTCTGGCAGGTAGGTAACAGAGATACACTTACTGGGTATCTCCCTGACGAATCATATCACATATCTGCAGAATGGACTCCCAATCAGTCTCCAGCAAGAGCTGGCTGGTGGCTTTATCTGTAAAGAGGAAAACAGAATTGATTAAATCATGCTATCTCCTAACAGCCTGATTTGTGTGATAAGAAATAAAGTGGACCATCACACTGTATTTTAGTTCAGTATTGATCCCAGACTGCCATATATTGTCAGCCATCCGATCCTGCAAAAGTTCCTCCGTTGAAGAAACCTATCTGCAATTCTCCCATATAGAAGCAAATGCTTAACTTGATTTGCACTCAAACCCAAATAACAGATTCTGTTCAAACACGTCTCCCTGAAGTCTTCTTCACATAACGAGCCCCTCTCTGGGTTTCCATCGAAGAAATTACCCCAGGAATCCGTTTCCCACAATGGACTGGTCCATTCGCACCTCATGAATATTTGTGCATAAATGTAACTAACGGACTAAGCAGGGATTCCTATTAAAAATACATGAAACAAGTCTGGAGTGAGTCTGGTGCAGCCTTGCTGAATATATCTTCCATAACAGGTCCTGGTTATGGGCACATCAAGGCAGCCAACCAAAAATGGGCTTTTATATTTCATATTTTATGGTATAACAGCATTATCCATGGCTCAGATATAAAAAGAAATCTCTGTACTGTAGGTATAGAATCAAATGCTCTCTGTTGTAATCTATGAATACGCTGATCTTTCTAATATGTCTACTTGTCCATACATTTAAATGATCATTTAGCTATTACAGTTTATAAACAGTATCACATGCAGACTACATCAGCAGGTATATGTTGTCATAAAAGTATACCCAGACGTCCTTCCAGTATAATATGTCAAGCCACTTTAGAAGCGTTACCAAAACACATTTAGCTTAGTGAAGCAGTTATGGTGTATAGATCATGCCCCTGCACTCTCTCTGCTCAGCTCTCCATTTCAAAGATAAATCACTTGGTTTATGCAGCCCTAGTTACATCTCCCCTGCATGTGACATACACAGCCTTTCTAAACAATTCCTGTAAAGAGATCTAATGTTTAAACTTATTGCACAGTCTGTTTAATTTAGAATTTCTTCTCTCTTGCTCTGGTAGTAGCCTTCTAGATCCTGCAGAAGTTTCATGTGTGCAAGTAAAGTTAAATTTACAAACTTCTAAAACAAGTTAACATCTTATTTAAAAACAAAAACAAAAACATTTATTTATGTTTCATGCAGGCTCTGTCAGTCACAGCCAGAGCGGCATAAATAGAAACAAAAGTGATTTAACGCCTAAATGGCAGATAACTTAGCAGTGATACTGCAGGGGTATTATCTATACACCAACACTAATTCATTAAGCTACAGTTGTTTTGACACACCAGTTGATCACTATGGGCCATTAAACGTAGTCCTGAATTGGCAGTGCTTACCTGCATAGAAACATGTGATTTACTATATATTTATTTATATTTGGGGGTCTATACATGTTACTATATAATGACATAGATGGTCGGTATAGTTATTGGGGGTCTATAGATGGTCGGTATAGTTATTGGGGGGTCTATAGATGGTCGGTATAGTTATTGGGGGGTCTATAGATGGTCGGTATAGTTATTGGGGGGTCTATAGACGGTCGGTATAGTTATTGGGGGTCTATAGATGGTCAGTATAGTTATTGGGGGTCTATAGACGGTTGGTATAGTTATTGGGGGTCTATAGACGGTTGGTATAGTTATTGGGGGTCTATAGACGGTCGGTATAGTTATTGGGGGTCTATAGACGGTTGGTATAGTTATTGGGGGTCTATAGACGGTTGGTATAGTTATTGGGGGTCTATAGACGGTTAGTATAGTTATTGGGGGTCTATAGATGGTTGGTATAGTTATTGGGGGTCTATAGACGGTTAGTATAGTTATTGGGGGTCTATAGACGGTTGGTATAGTTATTGGGGGTCTATAGACGGTTGGTATAGTTATTGGGGGTCTATAGACGTATAGTTATTGGGGGTCTATAGACGGTTGGTATAGTTATTGGGGGTCTATAGATGGTTGGTATAGTTATTGGGGGTCTATAGCGGTTATAGTTATTGGGGGTCTATAGACGGTTGGTATAGTTATTGGGTCTTATAGTATAGTATAGACGTATAGTTATTGGGGTCATATTGGGGGTCTATAGGGTATAGTTATTGGGGTCTATAGATGGTTGGTATAGTTATTGGGGGTCTATAGACGGTTAGTATAGTTATTGGGGGTCTATAGATGGTTGGTATAGTTATTGGGGGTCTATAGACGGTTAGTGTAGTTATTGGGGGTCTATAGACGGTTGGTATAGTTATTGGGGGTCTATAGACGGTTGGTATAGTTATTGGGGGTCTATAGACGGTTGGTATAGTTATTGGGGGTCTATAGATGGTTGGTATAGTTATTGGGGGTCTATAGACGGTTGGTATAGTTATTGGGGGTCTATAGACGGTTAGTGTAGTTATTGGGGGTCTATAGACGGTTAGTGTAGTTATTGGGGGTCTATAGACGGTTGGTATAGTTATTGGGGGTCTATAGACGGTTGGTATAGTTATTGGGGGTCTATAGACGGTTGGTATAGTTATTGGGGGTCTATAGACGGTTGGTATAGTTATTGGGGGTCTATAGACGGTTGGTATAGTTATTGGGGGTCTATGTGACACTGTATCTCACACAGGGCCGGCCCCTGGCACTCCAGCTGTCGCGGACTACATTTCCCATGATGCCCTTGGCTGGTTGAATCCAGCTGGAGAGCCCGAGGCTGGCCGTGACCGGTGCAGGACTCAGACCCGGATCCCACTCTTACCCAGCAGTCTTTCAAACGTTCCGCCCCCTCTACCCATCTCGGTACCGAATAACCCGTGACACACACACCGACACAGCAACAGCTCGTCTTCCGCTTCCGGTGTGACAGAGTGGGCGGGGCCGGAAGTGAGACGTTCCCACAGCTGGCAGCTTCCCCGTCCAATCGCTGGGCAGGACGGTTACCAAGGAGACGGAAAAGAGAGCGTTTGGAGCTGGACCCTCCCCTCCCCACCTTCATTGTGTGGGACATTATACCCCCCTCCTCCTGTCTCCCTCTAGGGGCTCCTGAGCTCACCCCAATCTCTACCATCCCCCCCTGTCTGCCTCTAGGGGCCCCTAAGCTCACCCCAATCTCTACCCCTCCTGTGTCTGCTTCTAGGGGCCCCTGAGCTCACCCCAATCTCTACCATCCCCCTGTCTGCTTCTAGGGGCCCCTAAGCTCACCCCAATCTCTACCCCTCCTGTGTCTGCTTCTAGGGGCCCCTGAGCTCACCCCAATCTCTACCATCCCCTGTCTGCTTCTAGGGGCCCCTGCCTCTAGCTCTAAGTCACCCCAATCTCTACCATCCCTGTCTGCCTCTAGGGGCCCCTGAGCTCACCCCAATCTCTACCATCCCCCTGTCTGCTTCTAGGGGCCCCTGAGCTCACCCCAATCTCTACCTCTCCTGTGTCTGCTTCTAGGGGCCCCTGAGCTCACCCCAATCTCTACCCCTCCTGTGTCTGCTTCTAGGGGCCCCTGAGCTCACCCCAATCTCTACCCCTCCTGTGTCTGCTTCTAGGGGCCCCTGAGCTCATCTCAATCTCTACCCCCCCCCGTGTCTTCTTCTAGGGGCCCCTGAGATCACCCCAATCTCTACCCCATCCCCCTGTCTGCTTCTAGGGGCCCCTGAGCTCACCCCAATCTCTACCCCTGTGTCTGCTTCTAGGGGCCCCTGAGCTCACCCCACTCTCTATCCCCTCCACAATGTGTCTCCTTCTTGGGGCCCCTGGTGTTGGAAAGACCTTGCTAATGAAGAGGCTTCACAATATCCTTTCTGTTATGGCAGCTATAGAAGGGCAAATTATCTTTCACGGTTATTTGTGTTATAGATGAAATGTACTATCTGCCTTGATGCCCTTCCTGTTGTGTTTGTACACCGCACCTCTTCTAGACTGTACGCTGGTTTGAACCAGGTCCTCATCAACCTATTGTTGTTCCTGTAACATTTTGTAATTGTCTCATTTTTGGTTTAACCTTTATAATATTGCACTGCGGAATAAGTTGGTGCTATATAAATGTAAAAAATAATGATAAAATAATACCCTTGAGGCAGCATATAACTAGTCAAGAAATGGCAATGCCACACATTTCATGGAATACATTATGCTGACACGATGCCCTTGGCTTTTCCATCAGTTTATGTGACTTTCCATGCCATCATGGCTCTATGTTCTCAATGCAACAAGTGCCTCTAGCTTCACTCTTCAAAACAGTGCATTTACAAATACAAGGATTCCCAACACATGTTATCAGCCATGCAGGAACACAGGGTTACAAGTAGAGATGTCGCGAACCGTTCGCGATCTTCCTGAACGGCTGCAAGCACGCCTGGGTGCGCTCAAGGTCACTGACACATCCCGGCCACCTCCAGCAGACCCTCCCTACCTCCTGGACAGCATCCATGTTGAAGGCAGCTTCAACATGGATGCTGTCCAGGAGGTGGGAGGATCTGGGAGGGAGGGTCTGCTGGAGATTGGCCGGGATGTGTCAGCTGACCGGAGCTCGCCGCGAACGGTTCGTGGCAAGCCGTTCGCGGGAAGTTCGCGACATCTCTAGTTACAAGTCCACACAAGTGTATTCTGTTATGTAAATATGGTGGGATCAAATGTTCATTTTGGGTGATAAGCAGTAAAAACTGCATTTATTGGGGAAGAACAATGTAGCCAAATGGTAACTCCAACATATTAAAATATGTTAGATCATGGAAGTTGTAGTACTGTGTTTACCAGTAGGTAGCTGCTCAGGTGCCTCTCCACAGGGATACCTACCTACCATTGGAATTATTTATATAGTGCTGTACAATAGGTAAACCAGGTGAACACTGAATTCTTATAGGTGGGCATTGTAAAGGCAGCCATGTTGAATAAACAGTCTAGAGACAAACATTTCAGCTATTTTGGCTTTAAATTTTAAATCCATTTTGAATTTCTGACATTTGTCATTTAACCCTGCTAGCTAGTAATCGTGGAAGGTTTGGTGCTTAGACAAGACAGTGGTCAGCAAGGCAATATTAATACTGGCATGGATGAGCAAAGCATAGACTTCTCATATTCCCAGTCTTCCCTGTATTCTTTGGTTCAATTCTTTAACCATGTTCTTTAAAGATTACCTCTAAAGACACAGAGGACCTGTCTGATGTACCTCCCACCCAACCCACAGTAAGCTTTTTTTATATTACAGCACTGGGAATATGAATTAGATGTATACCTTGGGACTTTCTCTATGGTGTGTGTCCTCTTGGGTGTTTACTCACTAAACTTTGAATTGTAGCATGTTGGAACCCAAAATTTAGGCAAGCGAGTCAAGCCATGACATAGCTGATTTGGATTTTGTTCCCAAATCAGCTAGTTTAGCCTAAGATTTTAAATTTGAATTTCAATGTGATATAATTCAACATTTAGTATAGGATCGAACAGAACTGCATAAAAACACAATCCTGGTAATGATTTGACTTGATGTGATTTCTCCTTCAGGTTGGTACCAACTTGACTGACCTAACCATTCATCGGACACGGGTGACAGTGCGTGAGGTGGGCGGATCCATGGGACCTATCTGGTCCAGTTATTACAAGGACTGCAAATCTGTGCTGGTACGTTGCTTTCAGTAACTATTTAGCTGACCACTCTAATAGCTGGAGTTGGGGAAGAGGAATCTTATTCTTATGGGCATGAAAAGTGATGACCTGTAGTATGTAGAATTCATATTCTGCAGGAGGGCATTAATCAATAAAGGATAATCAATGAGTTTCCTTCCTGTTCTATTTAAATGTTTTGTACTTCAGACTGCACTATTCATGCACCACTCACATGCTGAAATGTGGTGGTTCTGCCAAACCTAAGCTTACTCTTAAAAACTGCTAAAGTCTCCTGATAGCTGATTAGGAGCTATATCCAGCATGTGAATTGCTGTTTTCAGAATCCCCTAGCTCTCTAAATACCTTATTCTTTAAAAGAACAGACAGACGGATACAGCGCTTCAACTTGCTGAAGTGCTTTTTGTGCCTGGAGTCTGTCATATTTGTGACAATTTAGAAAGATGCAGGTTTTAAAAGAAAAATGCACTTTTATGAAATGCCTCCCCAGCTGTCACCCAGACAGCCATGAAGGTTTTCTTCTGCTTCCATTACCTCCACATCTAATAGCAGCAGCAGGCGTGTTGGGCTAGCCTATCTGCCTCCCCTATTCTCAGTTAACTGTATTACAGCTCTTTGAGACACGTAGGACTAGCCACAATCATACAATCTCATAACTCTATTGGTTATTTCCCCAGCACAGACTAAAAGTCTATGTCGGAGAAAGAGGGGAGGGCTTTAGGGATCGACCGATTATCGGTTTTGCCGATATTATCGGCCGATATTTAGATTTTTTGTAAATATCGGTATCGGCGATAATCACTGGTAAGACCGATAATGAGGTGGGCCAGCGCGTCCATAAGGCAGCACAAGCGGCTGCCTTAGGGCGCACTGTCCGGGAGGGGGTGGGGGGGCACTAGAATAGAGTGACCTGTCAGGAGGTGGGCGCACAGCGCTCCCTCCTGCCAGGCACTTTGTGTAGCGTGGCGAGCGGAGAATGCGCAGCGGTGGGGGGGGGGGGAATAGAAGGACACTATGGGACAGGGGAGGGGAGGATGGGACATTAAGGTAGGGCACTAAGGTACGGGGGAGGGAAGGGAAAAGGAACACTGGGGTAGAGGGGGGACCACTAAAAGAAAAGGGAGAGGAACATTGAGGTGAATGGGGGGGCACTAAGAGACAGGGGAGGGGGGGGGGCATTTCTACCGCACATATTTACACACACACACACACACACACTGCATCCACTACCCACACTGCATCCACTACACACACACACACTGAATCCACTACCCACACTGCATTCACTACACAAACACACACACACACTGCATCCACTACACAAACACACACACACACACAAACACTGCATTTACTACAGAAACACACACATTGCATCCACTACACAAACACACACTGCATTTACTAATCAAATACTCAGTGCATCCACTACACACAAACAAATATTCTTGAAAACATAAAACAAATCTGACTGGCATGTATATTTTGTGCATTTACCACTTCATAAAAAAAGATTTGAAATAAAATTTTTTAAATTATAATCATGTTCAGTTAACAGTATATTTGTGTAGAAATTTTCTTTTTTTCAAATCGGTAAATATACAGAATACCAGTAAGCTATCGGCTATCGGGCTGAAAGTTCCCAGATTATTGGTATCTGCTCTAAAAAAATCAATATCGGCCGATCCCTAGAGGGCTTGCAAAGACTGCAGACAGCTGGTCTGCAAATTTTGCCAGCTGATTGTTCACATAACCCCTAAAGGAAACATGCAGGAAAAAGTACGTGTATGTTTTTGTTGGGGTATATCTACTTAGTTGTTAAGTTTCAATGATTCTTTAACTGCTGATACATCCTGTCTTTACTTGCAGTTTGTCGTGGACGCTGCTAACCCATTCCAGGTGTCTGCATCCTGTATCCAGCTCCTGTCTGTGCTTTCATCTCCTCTGCTGGTCACTGCGTCAGTGCTTATCATTTTCAATAAAATGTAAGTTTTTAGGGTTCATATTGGCTCTAAATGTAAAGAACATCATGCGTGTCCCATTTAACAGCTTTACTTGTCTTTTTTGCACGCATATGTATTTTATCGTTTCTATTTTTCCTTTTGTATAACATTTACACAATCGTTTATACAATGAACCCAGATCTGGTAATCTCCACTTAATCAGTTAAAGAGCCAATTCACAGTTTTTGTCCTTTCTTTTATTTATCATGAACCGGACTTGCCAAGAGTCTAAGACACTAATCTTGTACCTAATTTCAGGGACCTAGCAAGTTCCATGTCTCTGGTGGAAATGAAATCACTGTTCAGAATGGATGACATCATTTCCTGTGCAAAGCAGCCAATCACTATACTGGAAATAAGTGCCCTAGATGGCACCGGACTCCAAGAAATTCTACAATGGCTGCACTCCTCCAGTGATTCCAAGAATTGAACATATACATCTTTTAAAAAAATTTTTTTAACAAGTAAAAGAAAATATTTATCTGCACCGTCGAAATGTCACCACACTCATGTAGACCTGCCACCAATGGGAACAAGCAAATACATTAACTTGTAACATAAAGCTTTTATGAAGTACTTTCTGTAATCCTGTTAAATACCGTTAATCCAGTGGTCCGTAACCCCCTGGGAATCCAAAATGGCTCATTATATCATTTTATTTTCCCATCAGGCCACAGGTTACAGCTACAAGAGATTGTTTAATGTGGCTTCTCTCTCTGCAATTGACACATTTGAAGTAGAAGAATCTTATTGAAGGGATTTATTCACTACCCAGCTATAGTGAATTGAAAACTAGTTAGGGAAATTTTGAGAACAATATCTTGTTAAAATTCTCCAACTCCGATACAGCCACAGTTTGGTTATTTTAATCCAAATTTTGCTATTTTGCACAATTATGTGTACTGTGAAAAATCCCCAAGTTGTTCTGCAGATTCTTGTTGTTTTTTTTTTTTTTAATGTTAAATATATTCCCTTTGAAGAATGGAGCTCTAAACCAACTTTCCAGCTGAAGAATTTTGCCATTGATTTTTGTCAAAAATGGTTACCATAAGAAGTGTTTAATTTTAAATACAGCAATATGCCTGTAAGCCAGAATCATCTGCAGAAAGGATGTCATCTCTGCCTTATTAATGTCAAACAGAACCATCAGTAATTGAAAGATATGTTGGCTTTGTTTAGTTTATTTACTAGTCTTATATAGCTTTCATATTCCAGAGCAGTTTACAAAATCTAGCATTTAATTATAGACTAGTTCACAAAATCTAGCATTTAATCATAGGCTAGTTTACAAAATCTAGAATTTAATCATAGGCTAGTTTACAAAATCTAGAATTTAATCATAGGCTGGTTTGCAGACAGAAAGATGGACATGTTGCACTGGCAACCCAGAAGTGTGATGGGATGCTTAGAATTGGGGAGACTATAAAATCTCTCCTAACCATTAAGATATAGAGAAGTGTTGGTCTTTATCTCACGCAGATCACTCCCAGTGCTTCCTCTCTTTGCTTTATGTCCTGCAGTATTGTGTGATCTGAATTAATTAAAGGACTTCGTTGTCAGTGCTTCTCTCTATAACTATATGGAGTTGCTTTCGTGAGTCAAAGCGTGGGGAAATGATTTTATATCCTCTCTCCCCATCCCACATGCTTTAGTCTGTGATTGAACAGGTGGAGCAAAGTGTTGAGTGTGAGAGGTGCACTGATTGCTGTAGTTGATCTCACACGGCACACTATTACACCACCGGGTTAAACGTGGGGTCTAAGTAAATATGTTTAATGGAGATTGATGTCATGGTGAAACTGAGAGATAGGGGATGAAAAAGAGAAACAGGATATGGGAGATAAAAATTTAGATTTATGTATTATATATAAGTGAGTGTTGTGTGTGTGCATGTTTGTGTGTATAAATGAAAGGACAGGTATATGGGTCAGAAAAGTGTGCTTGGGTTTGTAAAAAGTGGCTAATTAAAAGTGTGAATGGTTTTGTATGCTGCTTATTAACAATTTGAGTTCTAGATGTAAGACCACCACTGGCCCACAGATAGCTCAAGGGACTCTCTAAACACCAGAGCCACTTTAGCTTACCAAAGTGGTTATGGTACAAGGATAGCCTTTCTGCAGTATTTAATTTTACTTAGCAATCTGAAAAACAGGGCTTTAGAGCGAAGCTGTAGCTCCACCTACAACCCCTGTCAGTCAGAGGGCTGGAAATTACAATTCAGATAAATTGTGTTCTGACATGGAGAGACTTGTCGGCACTGCTTCCAGGGAGCAAGTTCCTCCACGCTTGCACTGAAATACTAACTCATTGGTACGAGAGCCTAAGAAGTGTAATTTCCAACTCTCTGACTGATATGGCTTGTAGATTGAGCACAGAGCTCTGCTTTAAAGCCCTGTTTTGTCCGTTTGCTAAGTAATTAGAAGTAATTTTCAGTTTACTGTAGATTAGTGTTTAATAAATAAACCCCTATGTTTCAAGTATTTTATCACAATTTATGTTAAATTTAACTTCAGTCCAACAGCAGGTCTTTAAAAAAAATAAAAAAAATATATATACTATTTGTGTATATCTGCTGTCTCTAACCCCATTCTCATTTAGTAGGTAATATTGGCTGGATTGGGCAGAATATGTCATGCCGCGGACAACTGCCTGCAATAAACAGGATTATTCGCTAAAGTGAGACTTTAAATTAATCAAATTAAAAATAGCCGAACTAGAGAATTCTCAGTCTGCCATGTTTCCAGTTTGGCTATTCTGGCCTTAAAGATGAAATTCATCTTCAATTCTCACTTTGGTTAAAAAAAAAAACCAAAAAACCTTAAAGAGTTTTCTATAGCAGCACTTACCTTCTGAGGGCAACGGAAATGCTTTCTTGGACACTAGAGGGGGCCCAATGAAGATGTTTTGCTGAGTTTACTTCAGTATAAATATTTTTTTTTTGTGTGTGTGTGTGTGTGTGTATATATATATATAAATATAATAAAATTATTCCTGTTGTACTCTTCATCTAGTCTCAACTGATGTTTGGGTATGTGACTGACGAAATGCTGGATTTACTTTTATGCTTCACTGTGACTTTCAGGAATGTACGAATCAGCGCTACAGGCTATAATCAGTAAGTCCCTAGCAGTTCGGGAGTATACGAACGAACGGGTATACGAAATACCAGCATTCGTTACACATTCCATTTTTTTTATTTTGAGCCCTTTTAGGTAAAAACAAAACTCAACTACCATTATATATCCTAAAAATCTGGATACATTTTCTATCATAACTGGGTAAGTCCAGACACTGCAATAGCGATGGGCTCTTCAACCATTCCTTCATTCCCACTTAATGTGGGTACCACTCCTACCATCGACCTATCATTATCGTGGCAAGTCTGCCTTTGCCATTCGTTGGCTTTACCCTCATAACCCTATGACTATTTTCTGTTTCTCACATCCATGCCACCCTAGTTCGTTCCCCACTCCGATTACGCTTTTTGGCTGTGCTGGCGTCTTCCGTTCCTCTAGTACCTAGTTAATGTATGTGTACCCTTCTTATTCGCACAAGCAAATAAACATTTTTTTATTTATTATTATTTAAATGCTTTATGAAAATATATTGATGTAGACATATTACACAATTTTACTGCATTAAAAATTAAAATAAATCTTCTTTCTTATATGCATTCAGTGTATTCTATATTTATCACATGCAGAGTGTTCACGTTTGCAATGAAATAGTCTTTGGTTCTTCAAACAATGTGTGATAAAAGAGCACAGTTTGTTACAGATGAGAAAAATTGAGATTCTTCCGAAATGTATTGAGTGGTTTATCGTTGTTATGAAGTTAAAGCAGTTGATCAATGGAGGTGCAAGCTTTGTTGTACATAAAGCAAAATGGCGTTGATTTACATGTTCATATCAGATTATCATCCTTGTTGTATGTAGCGTACATCGAACATAAAACAAAACTAAATTCTATTGTTTTTCAGTTTAGAACTTCTTTTAATCCTTTCATTGAATGCATGTCTCGTGAGTGTGCCTTACTGCCTTTTCAAAGGTAAGTGATTACTATATCATGTTATATCCTGAGGAAAAAGGGGTGTTAATTTATTGTAACTAGGATTCTCTTATACAAAAACAAAACGTCTGCAAGTCAGACACAGGATGTGTTTTGTGGTTAATTTCTCAGCTGTGTTACATATCATATAACATAACCTAGGGTAACATACATCTCACATAACAAAAATAAATTCTGTTATTTTTCAGCTAAGAATATTTTGACTTTTTCATTGAATGCAACAATATATATTTGTGTTCGGAGCACAAGGCTGTAACAAGTGAAAGTGCTTGAAGTTGCGTTGACGTAACACATAATATATGAAAGTCGGTTGTGGTGTGCTGTAATGGATGATGATGTAGGCCTGGCATAAAGAGGGCACACCATTAAAGTTCTAAAGTGTATATGTGCTTAGGGGTAGAGGAGGGAGGGAGGGACATGCAGGTCGCCCAACCAGGTAACGGTGTGGTAGAAAAGATAGGGGTTCCTTTAAAAGGGCTCCCATGCCCGTCTCACAACTACAGTAATTCACCAACGGAAGGATACCCCACTCATACTTAGGAATCCAGGTGCTTATCAAGGCCAGTGTTTGCAAAAAAACAGTTTAGTTAGTAGATAAAATAAATTAGGTCCAGGCACTCAGGATTGCTGCAGGAAGGCAGGTTTATTGGAACAAATTTGCAACGTTTTGACATACACAGAGGCCTTTATCAAGCCTCACTGTAGGCCGAAACATTGCAGTTTTTGTTTCAGTAAACCTCCCACAACTTCAGGCCAAACCTTTATATGTGTGTTTGGGGCACAATGCTGTAACAAGTGAAAGTGATTAAAGTTGTGTTGACGTAACATATAATATATGAAAGCCGGTTGTAGTGTGCCAGAACACACTATGCTGTAAGCCTGTAATAAAGAGGGCAAAAAGCTTGCCAGGTTTCTTGTACAGGTTGAGGAATATAGCGAGCATAAACAGAGGACTTCCAGCGTCATGGAGTTTTTATAATGTGCAAAACGCCAGACCAGGTAACGGTGTTGGAGAAAAGATGGGAGTCCTTTAAAAGAGGACCCAAGCCCCTCCCACAACTACAGGCCAAGCATATATATATGTGTCAACAAATTCCATTACAGCCATCACGCTACATCAGAGGTCAGCTGAATGACGAAACATAACAAGCAAATGAACTGTCCCACAAATGGGAACTTTTATATCACTCTGCCAAAATAAGTCATTTGTTTGTTAATTTCATAATAACAAATATGCCCTTATATATGGTTTGCCAGAAAAGTATGTCCTATTTATTTTCCAGCCGCAGGTCTATAGAATTCTGCTAACATTATATGAACAGGTCAGTCAGTGTCTCTACATATAATGTGTAGTAAGATATATAGACCATCAGTACACTATTAGAATGCTTGCTATTGGTTTACCTATATCAGACAGGATTATAGAAGAGCCATTCTCCTTCAGGAACAGTGAAATCACGGGAATTAAGAAGGCTCCTGAGCTCACTAATCAGTTGCTGCTGATATTGGGTTGTGAATATATGTTCTATTTCTTCTCTGTTCATCGGATTTTGGTTGTCGAATTGCTCGCTGACAGTAGTGTTTCTTAGATCCGGGCAGCACATTAGAAGATTACTGACTGATTCAGTCTCTGCTAAGCTCCCATATAAGCAGATCTTTTTGTCCGTTATGGACAAAGGATCAGGCTGCTCATTTTTAAACAGTTTCTCACAGTCTGTGCAGGAAGGGATTCTTTTAAAATTACATTTTTGGGCCTCGAAACTGAAGGTTTTGCATTGGACCTGGTTTGGGAACATAATAGCAGGGCTGTTTCTATGTCTGCACACGGCATAGGAAATAGCCTTGTCCCACTTATACAAGGCAGATATACGGATCATGATCAGCCGTGGAACCTTTCCTTTGCAAGACATCGATGAACCATATGCAATTTTCAGAATTCTGTTTGTCGTAGCATCTTTGTAGCAGCTGTATGCAATGATGGAAGCTGTGAAGGCAAAGTCATTGGCCACTGGATGGCTTCCGATCGTCCGATCCTTCTTCCACAGTGAACTGTTAACGTTTGCAAGTTGACTGATAAAGTTCTGTGGGTCTTTAACGTTGTCATTTTCCGCCATCTAAGTAAAGAAAGGACGCCTGTAAGAATGATTGCATATATGGATTTCCCTGGAGTTGTGGAGAATAGCGCAAGCACGTTAATTAAGTAGAGTCCAGGCTATTGACATGTTCTCCAGAGAGGATAGTACACATGACTGATGCTTTTTGTTAGAACATCTTGTAACTAACGCAATGGTTCTTAAAGGGTTAATCAAATCCAAGCACCAGGACCACTTCAGTGATTTGAAGTGGTCATGGTGGTGCTTGGAGTCTATATGTGCAGTGTTTCGCTATAAAAACCTGCAATTAGCCAGCCATAAAGAAAAGTTCAGTTTGGCTTATTTGAATTCTATACAAATTTGACGCCAGACAGCTAGTGGCAGTATACATCCCCCACCATGTCCTCCCTGATGTCCCTCTAGTGAGGTGGTGTGACTTCAGTTGTGGAGAATCAAGCTGGAGGGACTGAAGTTTTTTTTAGCATTTTTTTTTATTGGGGGGGGGGGAAGGGAGGAAACAGCACAGCAAGAATTACTTACTTTAACCAAAACCAATATTTTATGAAAACTTTGTATTGTGATGTCAGTAACCTTTTAAACCCCTGTGTCTGGAGCCAAAATTAGGTTCACTTGCTATTTGAATGAGTCTCCAGGCCATCACTTATAGTAAGTGGTTTACTTTAGTATCTGTGCCTTACTAAGAGCCACAGATACCCATCTGGCACTGGATAATCTAATGAAGCAGTTTTGTTAAATCACTTGTGCTGTTTATTATATTTCAGTTGTAGAACAGGCTATTTAGTTAGTTTTGATTTGAACTTTAGATTCCCAAATAAGTGTCTTGTACGTATATGGGCCTTTGGAAATAACATCCAATAATTTAGAACAAAAAGCACAGTAATTAAAAGGATCGGACACCCTTGAATAAAACATTGAAAATCACGTATAACGTGTGCAATCCTTTTTATCACGTGTTACATAGTTACATAGCTGAAAAGAGACTTGCGTCCATCAAGTTCAGCCTACCTCCACTGGCGTACATACCAGGGTCGCAGGGGTCGCGACTGCGACCGGGCCCGGCCCACCAGGGGGCCCGGCCGCCCCTGCGACCCGGTATGTACGCCCAGGGCCAGCCTCTTCCCCTGGGGGGCCCAGGAGCCGACCACCCCAGGGCCCCCCTGAGGCTGGCCCTGCTGACCCCGGGTGGCCGGTCGGGCAGGCAGGCGGGCGAGGGAGCACTCAGTGCTTCCTCTTCAGCTCCCTCGCGCACCGCAATGATACCGGAGCCGGAAGATGACGTCATCTTCCGGCTCCGGCATCCCTACGCGGCGCGCGAGGGAGCTGAAGAGGAAGCACTGAGTGCTCCCTCGCGCGCCCGCCTGCCTGCCCGACCGGCCGCCCACCCAGGAGCCCCACTGGACCCCAGGGAATAATCCCCCCCAGCACTCCAAGAGGTAAGGAGGCTGGGGGGATTATATTAAAAAAAAAAAAATCATGTGTGAGTGTTAGTGTGAGTGTTAGTGTGTGTGAGTGTGAGTGTTAGTGTGAGTGTTAGTGTGTGTGAGTGTTAGTGTGTGTGAGTGTTAGTGTGAGTGTTAGTGTGTGTGTCTGCTAGTGAGTGTTAGTGTGTGAGTGTTAGAGTGAGTGTTAGTGTGTGTGAGTGTTAGAGTGAGTGTTAGTGTGTCTGCTAGTGAGTGTTAGTGTGAGTGTTAGAGTGAATGTGAGTGTTAGTGTGTGTCTGCTAGTGAGTGTCAGTGAGTGTGTTACTGTGTGTCTTACTGAGTGTGTGTGTTAGTGAGTCTGTTTGATGTCTGTTAGTGAGTGTGTGTTTGTCAATGAGAGTGTATGTTTTGTAAGTGAGTGTGTATGTATGTCTGTCGCTGACTGTATCTCTGTCAGTAAATGTGTGTGTCTGTTAGCTAGTGTGTATTCGTCTGTAAGTGAGAGTGTGTGTCTTCAGCACTTACCTTTCTCCAGCGCCGGACTCCCTTGGTGCTGAGGATCCCTCAGCCTCTCAGCTCTGAATGCGACCGCGCACGCATTCAAACCGCCCATAGGAAAGCATTACTCAATGCTTTCCTATGGACGTTCAATGATAACTCTCTAAGCGACTGTCCATGAGACAACCATAGAGGCTGGATTTCCTCAGTGAAACATAGCAGTTTCTCTGGAAACTGCTATGTTTTTCAACTACAGAGGTTAAACTAGAGGACCCTGACACCCAGACAACTTCATTGATGTGATCTGGGTGTCTGTAGTGGTCCTTTAAGGACCACTATAGTGCCAGGAAAACATACTCGTTTTCCTGGCACTATAGTGCCCTGAGGGTGCCCCCACCCTCAGGGACCCCCTCACGCCCGGCTCTGGAAGGGGTTTAAACTTACCTTTTTCCAGCGCTGGGCGGAGAGCTCTCCTCCTTCTCTCCTCCTCTTCTCCTCCCCGTCGGCTGAATGCGCACGCGCGGCAAGAGCTGCGTGCGCATTCAGCCGGTCACATAGGAAAGCATTCATAATGCTTTCCTATAGACGCTAGCGTGCTCTCACTGTGAAAATCCGGTGAAACGCATAGCGCCCTCTAGCGACTGTCAATGAGACAGCCACTAGAAAATAGGAAAACTTAACCCATTCATAAACACAGCAGTTTCTCGTATGTTTCTCGAAAAATAATTAACCCTAGCTCGACCTGGCACCCAGACCACTTCATTAAGCTGAAGTGGTCTGGGTGCCTATAGAATGTCCTTTAAGTGTGTGCATCTGCATGCACTGGCGTACTATACAGCGGTGCAGCCTGTAACCCCTACGACGGAATTACCGCCATGTTATGCGGCCCGGCCGCCCCGCGGATCAATTTTCGCACCGGGGCCCCATGGGTCATGTGTACGCCACTGCCTACCTCACATTTGTTTTTTGCTGTTGATCCAAAAGAAGGCAAAAAAAACCAGTTTGAAGCACAATTTTGCAACAAGATAGGAAAAAAATTCCTTCTTGACCCAAGAATGGTGCTCAATTTTCTCTTAAATGTATATTAAAGACACGGTAGTTGGCATCATGATCCAGTTCAACCCTGGCATAGCAAGGCACACATTGCACGGAAGCTTTCTGTCTCTCTTCATATGCTGACTGACAGTGGAAACGTTCAGATAGCCTTACTGCAAATTGAACCTGAGTTTCTAAAGTTTACAATCAGTAACCAGTTGAACTGCCTCATCTGCATTATCTATTTCTAATTTTCCTTGGATATTGAAAAATTTACCAAAGATTCAGATCTGTTTTTTATTTATTCATTTTATTTATTTTTGTAGTTTGTTACTTATACAAAGGAATTATACTTGGGAGCGTTTGTAACGTCATACTTACAAATTCTAGCAGAATTGAGTAGGGGGTCTGCCTGGGCAGATGTGTCTTGCATTGTTCAAAAATCTGTGGACACCTTTTTCTTAAATTTCTCTGCAGGCAATCAGGAATAAAATCTTCCGGTAGGATTTGTGGTTTATTTATGTGTCCAAGGAAGAAAATTGCATGCAGGACCTGTGGCAACAGAACTATTTTAATATTATCTGTTTTTTTTTTCTGGTTCAAGCTATGCAAAATATTTTTGAATTTACATAAGGATTTCTTATAGATTTGTAAACTGTAACACTTTAAGAAAAGTAAATCATAAAAAAAAAAAAAATGCCCCTCAACATTAAAAAGGGACACTATAGTCACCCAGACCACTTCAGCTCAATGAAGTGGTCTGGGTGCCAGGTCCCTCAGGTTTCTTCTGGACATCCACTAGAGGCACATCTGCTACGCTGGAGGCATATTATGCCTCTATCGCGCAGAGGATCCATAGGAAAGCATTGAGAAATGCTTTCCTATGGACACTTTAAATGTGTGCTTGGCACTTGCCGCGCGTGTGCATTCGGCTCCGCTGACGTCGGCAGGGGTGGAGAGGTCACCAGCGCCGAGGGATCCCGGCGCTGGATTAAAGTAAGTAATTGAATGGATTTTAACCCCTTCAGCACCACGGGAGGGTGACCCTGAGGGTGGGGGCACCCTCAGGGCACTATAGTGTCAGGAAAACCACTTTGTTTTCCTGACACACTAGTGATTGTTTAAACCAGTTATTTAATTATTTCACTACTACTGTAGCAGAGCTAAAATCTTACATAGAAACATAACTAAATTGAAATATACTCAATATATCTGCTTTAATAAAAATGTTTTTATATTACCAGCAAAGTATGCTTTTTTGGGATACGACAATGTTTACATTGCATGGCTAAACACACCTCTAGCGGCTGTTTTCCTGACAGTTTCCATATGGTGTTTCCCCTGTGAAAACCGAGTCAGACTATGTTATGTGATGTTCAATGTTTTCACGCACTGCTTGACATTGTTGAATGTCCTCTAACGCTTTTCATACGGAAGCACCAGATTCAGTCCTTCACTATGAGAAGCATTTGATTGAAAAAGTGCAGTGTTTGCCACGCATGTTCTTCTCATCCTCAATATTTCTCTATTAGAAGCATGTTTTTTTAATGAGAAGATGAAGAGGAGACAACTTCCATGAAGACATTGGAAATTGCCTTTATTTATTATATTTTTATCCTTATGCCAAATCTCAGCACCTGGGCACAGCCATTTTGTTCTCTGTCCATAATGTCTGTTTGCCCTACTGTGGGATTGATTTTACTGATGGAATATGGGTAAATCTAATTGGCAACTGAAACTGACCTTTCTTTAAGCTCCAAAAATTGCCACGTTTTGTCAACCTGACTGCTACACATAAAGAAAATTATGTCCTCAGGAAAAAAGAAAACAGTTTCTCTGCTGAAGACCATATGTCATTTTGCAGTGCAGAGAATTGTTTTTTATACAATACATATTGCTACTTCCTGTTATTCTGGTCAGATCGTCTGCCAATGACTTACTTTTTTTAAGTACTTGGTGCAAACTTCCGGAGTAGCGTTTGTTTTGCCAAGGATCCCTAAAAAGACATCAATGAATAGATTTCCACTTGTAATTATATTTTCCCTCTCGTGTTCCATATGCAAGCGTTTAGCTCTGCAAGACAAAGGTTGGCGTTGGTCAGTACATGTACCGTAACCACAGGCATGCGCAGCCTATTGTATAAGGGTGTGTACCCTAAAGCACAAACACCGCGTATATATATATATACATACACACATACACACATACACACATACACACATACACACATACACACATACACACATACACACACACACACAGGCGACTCTAGACTTTGCAAGGCCTTAGGCGAAAGTCAAACATGAGGCCCCCCATTTACACCATTAGTGAAAAAAATAGCCGCAGCTCCCTATGCCTTGTGAGCACTTTTACTGTAGATATGACATAAATTGCTAATCATTTGTATACGATTGCAGGGTATGGTTGTATAGCCTGACATTTCCCCACATATTCTAAATTCCTTAACATGTATATTATCATATATGTGTTTCCCTATGTATTTTATATGTATGTATGTATGTATGTATGCATGCATGCATGCATTCATGCATATATATGTTGCTTGCAACTTTATCTTTGCATTGCCCATATCATACCACAACCACACTGCAGACACACGCACACATTTAAACACTAATACACAAATACATATACACACTGATACATGCACATGCATTTACACACACACACACACACAAACACACTGATGCACACATATTGACTAATACAAACATACAGTCACAATGTGTTTATCTGGCTGTGTGTATTTCTGAATGTGTCTGGCATTGTCTGTCTGTGTATGTGCCTGAGAGTGCGTCTGACAGTGAGTACCCTTGTATGTGAATGTATGTTTCTGTGAGCATGTGTATGTTTGTGTCTAGGACTGTATGTGTGTGTGGTAGCTGCTTGCGGTATTTTTTGTATATGGACTGTGGCCTTTGTGCATTTTGTCTGTGGTGACAGTGTGTGTGTGGGGAGGTGACAGGGTGTCGAAAGGGGAGACTGTGTGTGTGAGTGGAGGGGATGACAGAGTGTGAAATGACGTGAAAGAGAGTGGAGGGGGCTGACAGAGTGTGGAGAGGTGTGACAGAGTGTGGAAGGGGGTGACAGATTGTGGAAGGGATTAACAGAGTGTGAAAGGGGGTGACGGGTCGCTGAGGGAGGGATGGGGTGACAGTGTTAGGGGGTGGCAGAGTGAAGGGTGGGCAGGTGGCTGAGGGAGGGGTTGACAGGTGGCAGTGTCAGAGAGGGAGAGGGTGACAGGGGTCAGAGTGAGGGTAGGAGGGGGTTACAGGGGGCTTAGCGATGGGGTGACAGAGTGAGGGAAGGTAGGGTTGACAGGGGACAGAGTGAGGGAAGGAGGTGGTGACAGGTGTCAGAATTAGGGTAAAGAGGGTGACAGGTGGCAGAGTGAGGGCCACAGTGAGGGGTTGTCAGTGAGGGAGGGGCTCACGGGGATAGAGTGAGGGGGTGACAGACGGCAGAGTCAGGGAGGGAGGGGGTGACAGCGGGCTTATTGAGGGGCGACAGGGGACTTGGTGAGGGGGCGACAGGGGACTTGGTGAGGGAGTGACAGGGGACTTAGGGGTGAGAGGGACTTGATGAGAGGGGACTTAGGGGTGACAGGGGACTTTGATGGGTGACAGGGGGCTTAGTGGTGACAGGGGAGTGAGGGGGTGACAGGGGAGTGAGGGGGTGACAGGGGAGTGAGGGGGTGACTTGGTGAGAGGGGACTTTGAGGGGTGACAGGGGACTTGGTGACAGGGGACTTGGTGAGGGGTGACAGGGGACTTAGTGAGGGAGGGGTAATTAACTACCTTTGCAGGTGTCCCTGGTGGTCCAGTGTCCTGGCTCCCTGGTGGTCCGGTCGGCCTCCTATCCGGTCTACAGCTCTGCCGGGTGTTGACTGCAGACCACGTGATAGGAGTCTCGCGATCTCCAGAAGTCAGAGCGTTGCCGTGGTCCGGGCGGACTGAGGGGGCCTCGCACCCGGCGGCATAAAGGGCAAGCCGCCGGGTTCCCCCTGATGTCGGATCCTCGGTCATGGACCGAGGATCCGACATGTATGTCTGCCCTTGGGCGATTTAGGCGGCCGCGAGGCCTTAGGCGGCCGCCTAACTCGCCTAATTAGAGAGCCGCCTCTGCATACATACACACACACTGCTGTGTGTGTGTGTGTAAGGGTGCTGTTAGTGTGTGTGTGTATGTGTAAGGGTGCGGTTATTGTGTGTGGGTGCTCTTTGTGTGTAATGTGTGGGGTGGGGGGCCGTTTATTTCATATCCCCCCTCCCTTCTTACCTTATGTAGGGAGGGGGGACCGTGTGGCTGCCATCCCTGGTGGTCCAGTGGAGAGTGAACTCTAGCCCCACAGAGGGCTACAGTTCACTCTCGCGAGATCTGAGCATTGCCGCTGTAACCGCGGCAACACTCCGACCTTGCGAGAGGAACTTGGCGGAGCTGCTTGCTAGAGCTCCCCGGGTCCTCTCCTGCCTCCCTCACTGCCTGTGGGTCACTGAGGGAGATCTTTGATCTCCCTCACAGGCCCACGGAGGGAGACACATAGCACAGGCCGCAAGGATTAGGGTGTGCCCAGACACACCCCGTGCGCACGCCTATGACTGTAACATATCATGGGGAACTAGAGACAATCTTCTCTGGAGTTAAATACGGTGTTTTTGGGACAGTTTGGACAGGATTCTTGGCAGGGCATTGCTTAGTTCTAATACTTCCTGGGACTTTAGCCCATGTCAAAATGTAATAACCCCTCCATCAAGACTGCAGTCAAGGCCAATTCCCAGTGCCATTATTTAACCACTGCATTCTATATCCCTCACCCCCATCTTGTACGTTTACCCCATATTTCCTTTTACTCCCATGTGTCTCTCGCCATCTCCCTAACACCCATGTTGTCTCTGTTTCTCCTCACCTCCTATAGAACCATTTTTGTCTCTGCCCCCCATCTCCCTATGCAGTCCTTTGTCTCTTTGTGTATCCTTTGCTAACCCCTATTACACATTACCGTATTATGGTATCTGGCATGTGCTGATGCTGTACTGTGTTTCTTTGATTAGCTGCTGTCTAGTATAAAATGATAAAAGCACTAGTATCCTGCTACCGAAAGAGTTCAGAGGCTGAAGAACCACATGCCCATGGCCCCTTTAGCCCCTAAAGCCACCCCTAACAAGGCATATGATGCTGGGTGACCCCAGTGCTGGTACCAGTTGAGGTGTAAGCATCACCTTAACCCCAACTTCTCCTCAGTCCTTTGTAAATTATTAATATATAATCAATATTAATATATACACATCCCGATTGTGTGCAGGGCAATACCTCCTGGTTTCACTGTCAAACATCTTTAACCATGTTTTGTTTTTTTAGTGAGAGTGGCCACTGCATATCTTCCAACCATCCAGGTTTCGGGCTCCTTTCTCGCCGTCCCGGGTTGTTTTCCCAGGTGTCCTCTACAAGCACAGCGTGAGTGCATCATTAGACAATCTCACACTGTGATGACGGATTTAGAACCACGGAAGTACTTAGTATTGCTCTGTGGGTGCTCTGCATTAAGTTGGGCTGGCCTGTAAAGGCTGTCAATCAGCCTTGTGTGCACACATGCCAGACTGTCACTCCCCTTCTTTGGGCTGCCCCGCCCCCTTTATAGACAGACCATTTTGGGCATCACCAGTAAGGTTGACCCAAGGCAAGTATAATACATTTCGCAAACTGTTTGACTACTTACCCAGGGAAAAGATCAGGGCACTCCTGGCACCATAATCACTACAGCAGCCTGGAGTTTTCCTTTAAGTTATGATATATATATATAGTGTCATATTCACCTGTCCACTTAAGAGGATAAAATGCCTTTATCATTTTAAGTATTTTAAATACAAAAAAAAAATACCTTTTCTTTTCTATTTTCTCCTCCATGGTAGGGATGTACTGTAAAGAAAGATAAGTAGGCCATTATAAGATCATTGCATGAGCCGGTAACTGTCGTGAAAATAAAAATATAAGAATACTATAAACTGCTAAGAGTTGACAAATTAGTGACCCATTTTACCTTAAGATTAGACTTTTCACCAATTAAAACATTTTAAAGGAACACTCCAGGCTGAAGTTTACCTGCTTTATTTAATATGTTGTATAGATAATGCATTAAAAACAAAAATTATTCTCATATTTGAGGAGATTGTATTTGAAATAAATCGCCACATTTCTATGTTATGGCCTCTCCTCTCTACCCATGAACAGTGCATCTAAGTATGTGGAAGCCTGTCGTGTCCCTTTAACAATATAAACCCACCCAGTATAACTAACTGTAACCTAACCTACACAGTGCACCCAACATGTGTGGGAGCCTGGCGTGGCCCTTTAATAATATAAACCCACCCAGTATAACTAACTGTAACCTACCTACACAGTGCACCCAACATGTGTGGGAGCCTGGCGTGTCCCTTTAATAGTATAAACCCAATCAGTATAACTGTAACCTACCTACACAGTGCACCTAACATGTGTGGGAGCCTGGAGTGCCCCCGTCCCCCCATCCCATGTCGCTGAAGAGGTTAAAACCCCTTCAGCTACTTACCTAAATCCAGCTCCTGACGTTGGCGGGGGAGACCTAATGTGCATGTGCAGCAATGGCCTCCCCATAGGAAAGCATTATTCAAGAGAATAGGTCCTACCCCCTTATTCTAATTTAGGGCCCCAACCCACCGCTCATGGGTGGGAGCTGGGGGGGAGGACAATAGGTCACCCCCCATTATTTTACTTTTGGGCTCCCACCCGCTGCTCAGGGATGGGGGCCCCTTTAAGTAATTTAGGGCCCCCACCCACCGCTCAGGGGTGGATGCCGTGTGGGGGAGGACAATAGCCCCGCTCCCCCGTTTTTTTGATATAGGGCCCCCACACGCCACTCAGGGGTGGGGGACAGGGGGGCAATAGGTCCCCCCTTTAGTTTAAAAGCCCCCACTCGCGCGGCACGGGTGGGGGCCCCTGTTTTTTTTTTTTTTTTTTTTTAACAGTGAGCTGCCACAGGCTGCTCACTGTTTAATAGACATGCCCCTACTCGCGGTATAGCGAGTAGGGGCAGATTATTTACTAATACTAAGTAATTTTTACTTGGTATTAGTAAATTTGGCTGAAAGACCAATTTAGGTCTTTCCGCCTTTTGGTAGATAACTCCCTAATACCGTGGGAAGTTCCGAACCGAAGTTCCGAATTGCCAAAGTCCTGAATTTCGGAATGCCGAACCGAACATTTTTCCCATGCACATCCCTACATTGCAGCACTAAGTGCAAAAGGGACACAGCACCCAGACCACTTCAATTAGCTGAAGTGGTCTGGGTACCTACAGTGTCCCTTTAATAATATAAACCCACTTGGCATAACTAACTGTAGCCTAACATGTCTCTGAAGTGTACTTTTAATTAAAAAAAAGTATTTTTTCCTGTCTGTGGTTTGGAGGATCGATGTCGATAGGCTGCAACTTCATATCTTTGTTAGCTATTATATGGCTTTCCTAGAAATATGGCGTGAGTGTCAAAAGTGTATTTTTAATACAAAATAAAGAAATCAGAGTGGGGGGAGAATTAAACATTGCTTCTAATTTCCAGTTCAGCTATTCAGTTATGTTGTACATTTACTATAATAGTGTTATTTAACTACCTGCAACCCCAAACCCTCCACATCTTTGACTACAATTCCCATCATTCTCAAGTGGTGGTTGTAAACCGGCAGAGCATTGTGTAAGTTGTAGTTTTATGACTGTAGTGTGGGAGGGGCATCCTTGTAGCCACACCCATATTGTACACTATTGGGTGTAGATGAGGTCTCAACGCTTGCCACCCAGTGTTTAATTCATGTTTGTCCCCATTTTGGAATCTGACATTATTCCAGATGCTTACTGAAAAATGTATGAGCAGTTAAAGATCTTTTTAAAGAAGGACTGCCACCTCTTCCAGTTAAACCTAATGGTTAACTAAAAGTTGGCATTGCCTGGCAGAGTATGTAAATGAGTTTAATCTTGCAGTGCTGTATGCATGTTTCCTAGAGTAACCCTTTAAAATACTCCTCCCTGCACCTTCACCCCAGTAAATGTTACTTACACGTTTAATGGGGTAATATTGGGGTGTGGTAAGGAGAAAAAAAAAGTAACCACCCCAAAACATGCCTCCAACACACTTCTGTAGTCAGACTCTTGGTGCATAATGCACACACAGTATGTGACCAGAAATACATACAAGCATTACTGTGTATTTAACAAAATATTAATATAATAAACGTCTAACCCATATCTTTTAGGTAGTGAATGGGTAGTACAAATTCTCAATAGTGACAGTTCACATTTTTTTTAAATATATATTTTTTTGTACTATTCAAGTAAAAGAATAGTTGATAATCCCATGAATGAAATTGTGAAAAGCAATCAGTTTGAACTGAAGTTATGCCGAAAAAACTAGAGTTCTGTAAAGTTGGCAAGAGAACTGTAAATTTCACGTCAAACCCAGCTGAGCTGAATCGTTTTTCCAGCTTGGCATTTTTATGTATTAGTATTTGTAATTCCCTTGTAAATATTCAACAAATCACAGTTTAGCGAATAAGCCCCACTTATATCCTGGGCTTGGCAGCCACCGATTCACTTAGTAGATAGGGATTTAAGTGTGCGGCAGTCTGCGTTACTGGTTAATACAAAGTAACAAGGTTTAACAGCAATCTCTTTACCTGTTTATGGAGAGCAGAGCAAAGACTCGCAGATTTTATATCGGACGTCGTCCACAACCTTACTTGTTAAACTAGAGAAGGAAAGGGAGAAGGAGATTAACACCATGAACAGAAGGGGATTTCCTTTTCAAAATAAATGAAAATGACGTATATGCAGGGCGTGCACTGCCCTCCCCATTAACACTCGCCTGTTCGAGTTCTGCCTCAAAGTTACATACTGTATTTACTATAGATTAGGAAGCACTGTGATCGTGGAGCTTAGATCAGTAAACTAAAGGATATAATTGGGGTTCAAACAGAAATATAGGATTAGTCCTGCACACTCATGTTTCTCTCAATCTGACGTGCAAAAATAATGGAGTGATTACCCTTAAAGACCAGCGTGATGGAATATTTCACAGCTATTTATTACTGACATTTGTAAATCTTGTTGTCGGTTATAAACAATTTCTGGTTTATTGAATAAACACATCTGGGTGAATAGTACCTGTTGCCCAGTACTGCGACTCCCATTAATTTCAGCCAGGCCTGGGTATGGATGTTTAGGGACCCTGCACTGCACAGTGTCAGTTACATTATGCATTGCGCTGTGTGGGATTTTAGAAATCTGATCTGGCCTTAGAAATAACAGGCAGATCATATCATGTGTATAAATATTTGTGCGCTTTGGGCTTGCCTACACAGGGATATACGGTACAATGTAGACGGACTCCTTGGGGCTAGGCACGAGGGAAGGTTCTTATTACAGACGGAAATGTAAATCTGGAAATGTTATTTTTTCTTTCGTTTCTTGTGAAAATGAAACTTACATCCAACATTCTGCAATTGATCTCCAGCAGAGGGCATTGTCCGTAGAGCAATGGACTGCTGGTATTCTGTACTGATTCACCAGCAGGTGTCAATCCTGCCTACAGAGAAATGCAGGCCAAAACAGGTACAAAATAGTGTTCATTTTGGAGGCAAATTTCAATTTAGTTTTAGTCATAGTCTTTTATACGTACACTCCCACAATCCAATGTGTGTGATACTTTGTATTTTATCTTCCTATTACAATGTATAGAGCAGTGCTTTTTGTAGGGTCTTGCTAAATTAGGATGGGGAGCTTCTGTTTCATTCACCTACTCTTACTTGACCAGAAGTAATCTGCTTTTTCTTGTCCTTAAAGGAAGCGGTCTTCTCCCTCTCCCAACTATGTTCTTTCTTATTGCGTTTTTCTCTGTGTTGTGTCTCTGTGCATTCAACGAGTTAAAGGGATGCCCCAATGAGGATTTGGGTTATGAATTAAAGCTGAGAATAAAGTCAACTGATGCTCATATAACGCTTTCCTGCAGCAAATCCCAAAGTGTCTGACACACCTCCTGTGACTTCTGCTCAATGTAAGAACTGGCTAATATATCCTAGTATATAATTTAAGTCGCTAAGGTAAGTATGTTTCCTTGTTTAGAGCCTTCAAGTTGACCATGGGCAGCACTTCATTCAAGGACTGCTTCCTTTAAGTCAGAGAAGGGTTTATGTGATAATCCTGTTCCCCTAGTATCAAGTCTCGTGTGATGTTACCTCCTGCTAATGTGCACCGGGCCTGCATGCCCAACACAGGGAGGGGAACGGGCACACAGTGAATGTATTTAGAAGCGTTGTGACGATGGCAGCACCTTAAAAAATAAAGTCAAGATGGGTGTTTTAAAGTTTTCCAGCCACATGGTGCACGTTGAGGGGATTTCTACAATATACTCATGGACATTGAAACAAAGTGACAGAAACTCTTCTTAAAAACGACGGCCTTCTTTACAGGACAGAAGAGTGCACGTTTTGTAGTAGCACAGTTAATTACATAAGAATATTTAGGGGTACCCACTAATCCTAAGATCTACATTAGGTTACAGTTACCCCTGGTCTCATAATACTGTGAGCTGATTGTTATTGGTAGGAGTTACAGTCCACAGAAGTTAAAGTTTAGGAAAGGGGTATGATGGTGTAGTGCAGGGGTAGGCCACATTTGGCACTCCAGATGTTTCGGACTACACCTCCCATGATGCTGTGCCAGCATTATGGCTGTGAGAGCATTATGGGAGATGCAGTCCAAAACATCTGGAGTTCCTACCCCTGAGGGTGTACTGCTAAAAACAAATTTAAAAAGGGCACATCACTGGACAGATCACTGACAATTACTTACTCCTAATCACTAACCTACCCTCAGGAGCATCAGCCTATGTGTCGGCTTGGGAGAGGGATCTGGGACCCCTGGAAGACCCAACAGACTGGCAAGACATTTGGGAGGCCAACGCTTCAATATCTATCTGTGTAAACCACAAGGAACAGGCCTACAAAACCATGCTAAGATGATACCCAACATCCACACGGGTAGGTCAGACTCAGACCTATGCTGGAAACAATGGGGACACAGGGGAACATACATTCAGCTATGGTGGCACTGCCCCAATCTGGCACCATCTTGGGAATAATACACTTTGCCTATACTGACCCAAGGCTTAAGCTACAGATGACCGGCTGGTCAGTCTGTTTAAAATTGGTTAACATGTCAGCTATTTGCAATAATATACTTTATATCCAATGCTTAGTGAATATACCCCTAGACAATTAAGAGCTGTAGAGCATCATGTAACAAGAAATAGGTGTTATATCCTGTATGTTTCTGCTGTTGGCCTTATTTCCTGTTTTTCTCCCTTTGATCATAACTGAATTTGAAGTGCGTAGTTATAGTGAAACTTAGCTTTGAGCAAGGCCCGAACATGAAGATACACCTGCAAGCTTGCTATAGGTTAAGATGTTACGATAAGATAGATGATTTTGTTAGGATTGGATAATGCTTGTAAGACCAGCCCTGTTTCCTCTTGAACATAACTTGTTACACAGTCTATTAAATGTGAGAAGTCACTTTGAACCTTATCTTGTCTCGTTCATTGGGGGCTCCTCACCAGCTGGTTTGGGGACAAGGAGAAATACAGAGAGTTGCAAATTGATACAAAAGACCATGTCAAGGAAAAATTCCTCACTATCACACCACTATAGGCGGAGGTCGCAAACCTGATCTGAAACTTACTCCAAGTGAACATCCCCCTAGAGCCCTGGCTCTGGCTCCTCTCGAAACCCTGGGACCCCTTAACCAGAGCACAAAACAAACTAACAAACAAAACAGCCCAAGCAACGAGAAGAGCAGTAGCGGAACTCTGGGGCACTCCAAACATACCCACACTCCCAATGGTCATTCGTAAAACCAAAGCGTTGTGACGATGGCAGCACCTTAAAGAAGCAATAGAAACGGATAGGATCTTAGCCAAAGTCCACAAAACATTTTTACAAGATCTGGGAACGATGGTTGAACCTTTCCTATCGTAACCGACCCATAGCAGAATAGCTCTTTACGCACTCAGACGCAACCTCAGGCCCTACACAGTGAGACTGCAGGAGCATGATCTATACACCATAACTGCTTCATTAATCTAAAGTTGTTTTGGTGACTATACTGTCCCATTAAGGGATCAGAGTCCTGGATTCTATCCCATCTGAGATGAATAAGCGTTCCAGCACTGTAATCAGATTTCCCCCGTTAACAATGGCTTGCTATACACACCGGACATTCATACTGATGATCTGGACGTGGAAAGTGCTGAACTGCAGTTTGTAGAATTCAGACAAGTGCAAAAACCAGCAATCAACAAGGTTGCTTTCCCTTTCATTCCTTACCTTTATTTTTGTTTCTTCTGTATAATGTGGGAAAAAGCAATGATAGGCGATTCTCAAACAATTGTAAAAACTTTCTTTTACTAGAAAATCAGAGTGAGTTCCATGAGAGTTTGAGGGGCAGCAGTTATCATGCCTTTGCCATCAGCCTGACTGTCCAGGAAAACATGATGCATCTCGCAACTCTGATAAGTAGAATTAAAGGAATCTCAGAAACCGTGACATGAAGATTGCATCTAAATAAACACTGTTCAAATCAACACATCAAAAGACATTTAGAACGAGTTGGGCGTTTGTTTTGTATCGTCCTTCCTTTATTAAGTGACTTGCTGATTTCCAATAAATACGACATTTGCAGTCTTTTTTACTAAAGTCAGAAATCAAAGTGAACGCTCCCCATAGAGATCCTGACTGGCCACTCAGCTTTTTGCCACACATTCACAATAGCCCCACAATGCTTTGATATGATGATCTCAGCCAAAGTGAAGAACACCGTCATAGGACTTTAAAATCAACAAGATAAGGTCATTTAAAAAAAAAAAATTTGGTGTGCAAATGCATACATTCACCATTTCAGTGCCATTACCAAACTTTTCTTAATATGTCAAGGTAGTTGGACTGAAACATTGGTTATATGCAAACAGTGGTGTACATATAGGGGTCGCACTTGCGACTGGGCACGTCCATCCAGGGGCCCTAGCCGCCCTGCGACCGGGTGCCCGCCTTTATGTTTCGCGGCCCTGGCCCGGGCGGCAAACCACCGGGGCCGCCATTCAAGAGGTCCATTGGGTGGCCCATGCTGTTAGGGCCACACGATGGGTATGGATTTTCAGGGGTCCGGTCAGCACTGTGGCGCTTTAACAGCACGACCGGGCCCTCTGTGATGACATCACACGCTGGGAGGAAGTGACTACCCCGGTCACTCCTACCAGCAATCACACAGAGCCCGCAGAGGAGGGAGTTAGAGTGGGAACTCTGACTCCGCCACCACTGGACCCCAGGGAAAGTCACCCTCCTGCACCTAAAATTAACTGTGTCTTATATAACCCCTATATGCCAGACTCCAGTACCCCAAGAAATCCTTAAGTGGGGATCAATCCACTTACGCTGTCATCATAGAGCAGTCCGTCTGCTCTTTATTTGTAAGTACGGTTTTAATTTAATTTATACCATCATCACTATACAGTGAGCACTATTGGTTGTCTCTTCTTCCTTCCGAAAATGGATCATCCCTGATGGAGAAATACCCCACCATAAACAGGGATTATAAGGCTGTGTGCACGCCTTATCTCAGAGCTAGACAAAAGCTCTTGTAAATGTGAGTTTTACATTATTATCTCTCATTACGTCATATTTGGATTTGATATACTGCACCATTGGTTGTCCGTCTTTTCTCTCTTTCATATAAGAGGACCCACCATTGTATTTG